GTTGTTGGATGCGGGCGTGGGAAAGCTGTTCTCTGGATGGGGACTGGGGCAGAGGGATGAGCGCACGTGCTCTTCCTGGACGGGAATGTCAAGGGCTTACACAGTCAACAAGCAGCAGTCAGCACAGGTCAACAGGAGATGGCCAGGGAATTCTGGATCTTCCAGGGCTGGGCCAAATTGCTCTGACAGCCTCGCTTTCTGCCCACCGCCTTGCCTGGCCATTAGTATTCTAGTAAGATAGAGAGACTAGCAATTACTTCAGAGGAGAAAAAACCCAAGACACAAGAGGACAAACAAGTGTCCCAAGCCGTTCAGCATTCATTGCAGACACACTGGCCGGGCTGCTCTGGGCGGGGTGCCCAGCAGGCTGTGGGGAAAGCTGAGGAGCGCGGAGGAGGACGGGCCTCCCATCAGAAACTAGGACCTTCACTTCAACTTTGTGGGCCTCTGTTTCCTCACTTGTAAGATGGGAATCAAATCTTCCTAGAGGGACAGGATGTGGCTCAGTGGTGAGGGGCTGCGGAGCACAAGGAGGCCCTAAGTTCCATCCCAGCACCACCCAAAACAAAACCAAGAAACCTCTGGGAACAGTGGCAGCTGCCATAAAGGAAATGTGCCTGAATTCCCTGGGTGCGGGAAACAAGACAAGGGGGAGGGAAAGCTGCACAGCCCAACACTGTCCCCAGTGACCAGTGCCTCCTAGGTGTGGGGGCCAGGAAGGGCTCCCACAGAAGGCCCAGGAATGGGAATGAATGAGGAGAAACTCTTGTTCAGGTGGCCTGGCCTCAGGATGGCAGAGGAAGAAGCACTGGTCACAGAGTGCACACAAGCAGCAGGAGACCTGAGCCCAGGGTGGTGTGGCTGGAGAGCCTGAAGAGGGAAAGGCAGCATCAAGGGCAGATGGCTAACAGGGTGGATGCAGGGCCTGCACTGCACATCGGGTCAGACTTATTTTGAGATGAGGAGGTTGGGAGCAAGCAAGGGCTCTGGAGCAAGGGAGGGTTGAGGATGGTTTTAGAAGATCCAATGGGGACTGGCAGAGTGGCTCAAGTGGTAGAGCGCCTGCTATGCAAGCACAAAGCTCTGAGTTCAAACCTCAGTTCCACCAAAAAAAAAAAAAAAACCCAAAAAAACCCAAGAAAACCCATGCTGGCGGTGGTAGGATGAAGTGGGAGGAAGACGCCTGGCCTGAGCGACCTCAGCACAGGTCAGAAAGTAGCGATTCCAAAGCCCCACAGGCCTGTGGGGGCAAGGGAGAGACCCCTGCAAAAGGGTGTGCACGGAGAAGCAGGGTGCGAGGGGTGGGCAGCGGGGAGGCTGAGGTGTGCAAGCCACAGAGAAAGAGTGACGGCACACAGCAGATGGGACAGGTCCCAGCACTGCGGGCCCAGAGAGGACCAGCTCTAAAGGGGCTGCAGGTCACTGGCAACCCTGGAGGGTAGCAGCACCTGCACACGGGAGGGGAGGGGATGTGCTTCTGCTTCTGGGGCTGCAGTCAAAGACATTTTGCTCAGTGGCCGCTGAGCATTCAGGGAGGCAGGCAGGGAGAAATAGATGAGGGAGGAAGATGTGACGGGATCTCCTCCTGGCGAGGCAGAAGACAGGCCTGCAAGTGGAAGCCCCATGCAGGAAAGACGACAGGAGGATGTGGACCAGGGTACTCAGGCCTCAGTCCCCGCACTCCAGGGAGGGACCTGGGGGCAAAGGGTCAACAGGATGTCGGGGAGCACAGAGCAGAAATACAATAGGAAGACTGCAGGCCATGCTGGGGAGAGGAAAGCACCCCTTCCCTGGTGGCCTGTGACTCACTGCTTCACTCTCTCAATGGACCACTGCCCTCCAAGCGTCCCGTTACCTCCATCCCAGCAGATTGCAGCCCCTGCTCAGGGTGCTTGTACCGCTCCGACTGGAAAACACCAGCAGTCACACTCTGCTCCCCCTGCCGTTACCTGCAAGGCCAAGGGAGCCCCTCGGCCTGGCTCAAAGCCAAGTAAGGCCGTGCCTCACATGTGGAGTGACAGTAACCCCTCCCCTCCCCCGGTGCAGAGCTGCATCAAGAGCAGAGGAAGCCAAGAGCTGACTGCTCACGCTTGTAATCCAGCTACTCAGGAGGCAGAGATCAGGAAGATGGAAGGTTGAAGCCAGCCCAGGCAAACAGTTGGCAAGACCCTGTCTTGAAAAAAAAAAAACCAACACAAAAAAGGGCTGGTGCAGTGGAATGGCTCAAGGGATAGGCCCTGAGTTCAACCCCAGCACGGCAAAAGAAGAAGATGGTAATGGCCTGAGCTGGCCAGAACCACAGGCTGCCGGTCTCAAGCCCCCTGGGTTCAGGTTTGCCCCTGCCCCATTCCCCATCGCTCAGAGAGAAGAAAAGGCACGTGGGAGATGATGCACCAGTTCCTGGGCTTAGCACCCCATGGTGGTGGACATGGGGTCAGGAGCGCCGAGCAAGTGGCAGGCTTTTCTCTCACTGGCCACCTGATACAACAGCGAGACAGACAGCAACACATTCGCAGACCGCTGTCTGTGGACCATGACAGGTGCTGAGGGCTGGTGTGAGGGAGACAGATGGCTGTGTGGAGGCTACTTGTGATAGGTGACTAATAAAAGCCTCTGGGATATTTGAGCTGTCACCTGAAAGAGGGAAAGGAGCCAGGAACTTGGAACGCTACAGGGGAGACAGGGAAGAGACTTCAGGAAGAAGAAATAGCCAGCAGGACACCATGAGGACATAGAGAGCCAGGACTATAGCCAGCACAGTGGCTCACACTTGGCTACTTAGGAGGTGGTGATCAGAAGGGTCATGGTTTGAGGTCAACCCAGGTGAAAGGTTCATGAGACCCCATCTTAACCAATAAAAGCTGCGCACAGTGGTGCACGCCTGTTGTCCCCAGCTACATGGGAAGTGTAAATAGGAGGACTGAAGTCCAGGCTGCCTGGGCATAACCTTATTTGAATTACTAAAGCAAAAAGGGCTGGGGCGTGGCTCAGGGGTAGAGCATCTGTCTACCATGCATGAGGCCCTGAGTTCAAATCCAGCACTGCCAGAGAGCGAGAAAGAGAGAGAGAGAGAGAGAGAGAGAGAGAGAGAGAGAGAGAGAGAGCTTGGGCTATGGGAGGAAGAGAAGTAGGCTGTAGGGCGGTGCAAAGCAGAAGCTAGCCAGCACCCGGGAAGAAGAAATCGAGGTTCTATCTGAGTCTAGGCAGGTGAATCACGTGACCTGATTCATGGTTTCACACATCTGTCACTTTCAGTGATAAACCGCCATCCTACACCAAAACTACTCCATGGGTAAAACTAGAACTCCTTCCTTGATGCACAGGCTGTGGAAGGAATAAGTGACTACATGAAGGCGACTCTGAAGCCCTCCAGGAAGCTCGAAAAGACCCCTCAAAACTCGGACTGCTTTCTCATCACCCAGCTTAGCAGACTTTCACTCCCCACAGCCTACACACCCTAAGCTGTGGTACTTGGCCATTAATAAGACTACCTAATGGCTGGGCACCTGTAGGCCCTGCTACTCCAGAGACTGAAGCAGGAGGTCAGGAGTTCAAAACTAGCCTGGGCAACATAGCCAGACTCAGTTAAAAAAAAAAAAAAAACAACTTAGGATCTGTAGGGCACTTGACAGTTTACAGCACTTTCATACTGTTTGCAAGAACTTGTTAATTAGTAACCACTGGTCTTCTAGCTGTTAATTTAGAGACAGTGTTACAAGCTGGTCAGTTCTTGCAAGACTTAACAAGCATGCATGTGTCTCTGGTGGGATCAGGTCTCAGGCATGTCAACCTGCCTATCAGCTCACATTGGGTTTGGCATTTGCCCTGGCTGGTGTTTTCTATTCTCAAATGTTCAAATCTGGTAGAGATTAAATGACAGTAAGTGTAGTATCACTGAGTGCTTGTGACGTGCTGGGACTAAGTGACATGATTAAGGTTCTCATTATTCCAATACATTTTTATATCCATTTCTCAAATGCCGGAATTAATGTGTGGAAAGGCTACCAGCCTCATCCAAGGACACTCAGAAGAAAGAAGAGCCCAGCCAAGATTTCAACACAATGTGACACGAAGGCACGCCACGTCCTCACTCTTAATCATGACGCCTTGCTATCTTAGACAATCCTTGCAAAGTGCTTCTGTCTGGACCACATAGCTACTCAGCAGAGACAGCTGTCATCAGAAGGACACGAGTAGTTTCTGGTTCTCAGGAGTGTCACCTCCAGGAGACCGGCGACCTTGTGTGTCCGGGTGACTGCTGCTGCTCCTTGCACCTGACTCAACGCCCATTTGAGGGACGGATAGATAAATGAATGAAAAGTCCCTCCCCACAGCCTGCCTGCCCGCGCATGGCTCTTATTCGCACGTCTGTGTCGCGCGGCTGACACTGTCCCTTAGTCGCAGCATCGGGAGAGTCTGAGGACGCAGAAGGCGCGGGGAGACGTGAGAACCCCGCTTCCCGGTGTAGGGTGGGGACGGGAGGGGGGCTGTCATCCAGGATGGCGCTCGCAGGCGGGTCCCGACTCCTGCGGGGCTGTGTCCTCCGCCACGCACGGCAGCTCCCCACGGGGGACACTGCTGGAACCCGCAGAAGACAAAGACCCACCACGGGGCCGGCGGCGATCCCCGCGATCCCCGCCCACCTTCCCGGGAGGAAGCCGGATGCACCGCGCACCGCCGGGCCGAGTCGCTGCGGCTGGGACGGCGGCGGCGGCAAGGCGGCGGCAAGGCGGGGACCCCGGGCGGAACGGGGCGGGGCGGGCGCGCGCCGCAGTCCCGCGGAGGGGCGCAGAGGAGGCCGCGGGCCGGGCCGGCCTGTCTGTCACCTTCAGGGCCGCGCGCCCCCTCTGTCCGTGGTGGACCCCTTAGCACAGGCCCCCGCCCGGCCCCGCCCGGCTGGGCCTCCCCGCGCCTCAGGCTCGGCGCGTTGCCCGCCTTCCGCACCGCGTTCCCCTCCCACCCCACCCTCCCGGCAAAAAGCCCACCCGGCTTGTACCTACCTGCTGGGAGAGGGGGATGAGCGGCGCCGCCATCTTCCCGCGGACTCCGGCTCTGAGCGCCGGGGGAACGGGGGCGGGCCCGCGGCCGCGCGTGCGCACTGGGGCGGCGGCGCGGGGCGGGGTGTGAGCGGAGTGAGGCAGTGCGCACGCAGCCCAACGAGGGGGAGGGGCGCGTCTGGCCGGAATGCGCGTGCGCGCAGTCCTCATGGGGGCGGGGCGGGGCGGGGGCGGAGCATGGGAGGTGCTCGAGCCCCTGGGACTCCAGTCGCGCAGGTTGCGCATTCCCGCATTTGCTTCCGTGTCCCACGTTGGGCCCCCGATGTCCGCTGCCCCGGTGAGCCGTGTTCTGCCCCCTGCTGCGGATGCCATTGTCCCTTCTTCAGCACGCCTCGCAAACGGACTACTCGCGGCCCACGCCCTCCCTACGGTAGCTGTGGGACCCTGTCAAGTCACTTAACTCACCACTTTGCACCCCTAGTCTCGTCGTCTGAAAAAGGGCGAAGCAATACACGTCTGCTGTCCTGAGCCCTCCCTGCCGCTCAGAGCAGCGGGTACCTAGCACCTGCTGGAGGTGGTGGCAGGCGGGCCGCACCGCACGGCAACCTTTATTTAATTAAACACAATCGGCTTCCATGGGCTACGGGCATCAACCCCTCTCAGTTGGGAAGGCCCAGCACAGCAACCTAAGCTTGCTCCACGGACTGTGGCCTTCCTCTTACCAGACATCAGACCATGGTGGCACAGCAGGCCAGCCAGAAAGCCTGGATCCAGCCTCCTGTTTGTCTTCATGGTGTCCCCATAGCCTGCTGCGTGGGTATCTCAGTGGCTCACTGTGTCCCATGACATTCAGGTGAACACACGGCACTGTAGGAACCACTCACGTGCCCACTGGTTGCTCAAGCCAGGCTGGTGGTGCTCAGAGTAGACACTCTGCCCTGGGCAACAGCCTAGAGATGGGGTCTCAGTCTAGATCTATCAGAACCCCCTCCCCCGCAAAGGGGTTGTTAAACACAGACTGGGGTTCTGAGTCTGGCATGTAGAGGTACGTGTGACCTGACTTTTTTTTGGCAGTACTGGCGTTTCTCTTGCTAGACAGGCACTGTACCATTTGAGCCACACCTCCAGTGCTTTTGCTTTAGTTTACTTTTCAGGTAGGGTCTCAATGTTTTTACCTTAGCCTCCGAGCACAGTCCTCCCATCTCTGTCTCCCTGGGATTACACAGGTGAGCCACCACTGCCTGGCATTAAGAGCGGACTCTTGAAGCTTCAGGTGATTGTAGGGGCCGGGAAGGCGGCATCGCAGAGAGAAGGAACTGAGGGTGAGTTTGGATCTTTTCCCATTGTGGGAATGTCATTTCCCACTCAGTGCAGGGTGCTGCTAAACTGGGCGTTCAGTAGGTTAGGGAGACTGAATGCGTGCTGTACTTAATGAGATTTTTAACCTGAGATGGACATTATCAGGACTGAGGAGCTGGAGCTCAGAGAGCAAGACCTCAAGTTGAGGTGGGGTCAGGCTTGTCTTAGGGGACACCTGTGTGAAAAGCAGTGACAAGCCACCACAGGGCTTTGGGCATGATCACTTTCTGTTCTAGCATGGGGACCATGGATGCCGTGGGCAGGGGGAGAGGGCGTGGATAAAGTGAATGAACCAAATGGAAGGATGTGGAGGTGGTCCAGGTACAGGTGATGGAGGTGTTTGCTGCGCTGCGTTTAGCTAAACATTGCCATAAGGAAATGTACAGTCGTTCAAGGTACTTCAGACAGAGGCAATTGAATGTAGGGGTTGAGTGTTGGAGGCGATGGAGAAGCAAAGAGGGAGGGAGTGTTGTGTCTGGAGACCTAAGGCAGATGAGTGAGTATCCCATGTCCCCATGGAGAGCACTGGGATTCCTGCACCCTGAGAAGGAGTTATAAACCTGAATTCCTGCACCCTGACAAGGATTGGTAAATCTTCATTCCTGCATCCTAAAGAGGAGATACAGGATCTGATAGATCTGCCACAGGGCTGATGAGCAAAATGCTCTCAAGATTGTTCCCCCGACCCCCCCATTAAGGAGCAAACAAACCAGTTCATCTAAGAGAGCCCGCGAATCCACGGCCAATGAAAAGAGCCCACCTAACCCTTTTCCAAACCCAGAGTTAAAACGTCCATAAAACCCCCAGTCTTCAGCTGAGCAGCGAGCTACCGGCTTCCGGGCTCCACTGCACTTCTCAATCTGTAGCCTTTCCTTTCTGTCTAATGAATCCTACTTTCTATACCAGCTTTCGCTCATTCAGCCGCCTCATGGTCCAGTTCCCTGGCCTGGGAAGGCAAGGACCCTCGACCCCGCCCGCAACACTTCAACCAGACATAACAGGTTAGCTAAGATCAGTAACTGCAGGAGGCTGCTAGCCCCTGTAGCACGATCAAAAGAGAGAAAGGTGTCACTGCACTCCCATAATCACTGTGTCCCAAAACAGATGCCCAACCTCACCAGCCATGGCAGCTTTTGCCATTGCTGTTAGAGTCAGTGCTATGGTCACCACCACCTAGCGCACTGGCAGAAGCCTGAAAAAAACTTCCCCCTTCCTTCTGCCATCTAACCTCTTTCCAATGGAGCACGACAGGAAGCCAGCATGCAAGGGTGTCTGGGAAATGTAGTTCACAGCTTCCAGCCCAGGCATTGGAATCCACAATGTTGGTGACCACAGAAACTCTCCAGCATTGTCCAACTGGAAGCAGGCTCCATGGTGTGTGAGTCCCACCAGCCTGTGGTGGCACAGCCTGGGGGCCTGGGATTCCTCTGGGACAATGGCTACCACACTGGCCAGCGATCAACTGTCCTGGGGTCTCTCTCCGCCAAGTCCACGAACACTCACTATGCGTGGCTACTTAGGATTAAGTGGAGATTGATTATAGATGTTCCTCCACTTACAATCCTAATAATGTCCGACACTGCTGGAAATGTCACCAAGCACAATGTGCATTTGACCTACCCAACCTACCAGGTCAGCCCCGCCCTTCACCATCCAGTATGGAGCTTCCCCATGTGACCGCGGGACTGACCGGAGCTGACACTGTATTCCCAGCAAGGGAAGAGGGCCACATGCAAAACTCCCAGAGGAGCACCTACTGAATGCACTAAACTTTCCCCGCATGGTAAAGATGAAGAGCCTGAAGGGCAGACACTGGAAGTCAGGGGCTGTCTGTGCAATGGAGGGAGATGAAGGCCACTCCTCTCCCATTAGCCACATGTGGTGTGGCTGCCATGACAGAAAGAGCTCAGCGCTCAGAGAAAGTTCTCCAGGACAAGCTGGGGGTGTGGCTCAAGTGGTAGAGCACTGGCCTAGTTAAAAAAACGAAAGAAAAAGAGGGGAAGGAAGGAAGGAGGGAGGAGGGAGAGGGAAGGAATGGAGGAGGGAGGGAGGGAGGGAGGGAGGTAATGAGTGAGTGAGTTCGGGAGGCCAGCCCTGCTTCAGAACGAGCCCTGATGAGGCTGAGCACGTGTGACTCATCTTTGTACCAAGATTATCCCCAGCACTTCCTAGGCCTGCCTCTGCTGTGTCCCACACGAAATTCCCAGCTCCTCCAGACAAAAGAGAAAGGCTGGTTCAAGTCCCCCTTGCACTGGTAAGGATGAGTCTTTAGTTTCTTAAGGTAATAACCAGCCCCAGCCTCCCCCCAGAATGGTGAAGGCCGATGTGGCTGGCAGGTAAAAAAAGCCAATGGAACCTGTCAGACCTCATTGCCTGGGCAGACTCCTCCAGCTGGTCGTCTCTGGATGTGCTGTATGTGAATTCTGATTAATGTGGGTTTTGCATGCAACCCCAAGGCTCCTGATTTTTTGGTGTCATAAGCGTGATTATAACCAACATGAGTTTCGGTGTGAAAAGGGACCTTTTTGAAAAGGAGACAAATGAAAGCAAATTATTTCAAAGAAAAAAATTGAAGCTGAGAAATAATTGTTGTAGTTACTTGAGGAAATGAAGTGTCCTTTTTTTTCTGGAGAAGAAAGTGGCTTGTGGCTCAGAGTGAAAAAGCACTCTGCACAGTGTGCAGAGAGACCAGGGCTTTCACAATAAGCAGTGTGTAAGAGCAGCACACATACAACCTTTGGATGACGAACTTCAGCGGCTCACACCTATAATCCTAGCTACTCAGGAGTCAGAGATCAGAAGGATGGAGGTTCAAAGCCAACCCGGGCAAATCATCCATGAGACCCTAGCTCAAAAAACCCATCACAAAAACAGGCCAGTGGAGTGGCTTAAGGTGTAGGCCCTGAGTTCAAAACCCAGTACTGCAAAAAAAAAGAAGAAAAAAGAACCTTTGGATGTCTATGGTATTAGGTATTGCACAAAGATTTCACAGGCACGTGGGGTGTGGCTCAATGGTATAGTGCTTGCCTAGCATGCATGAGGCCCCAAGTTCGAGCCCCAGCACTGCATATGCATATGCACACACACGCACACACACACAAAGCATATCACATTTAAAAAGTTGCACTTTTGCTGGGCACCAGTGGCTCACACCTGTAATCCTAACTACTTGGGAGGCTGAAATAGGGAGGATTAATGTTTGAGGCCAGCCTGGGCAAATAGTTCATGAGACCCCATCTCCAAAATAACCAGAGAAAAATGGATTGGAGGTGTGGCTTAAGCAGTACAGCGCCTGCTTTGCAAGCACAAAGCCCTGAGTTCAAGCCCCAGTCCCACCAAAAGAAAAAAAAAGGTGCTTTTCCATTAGTAACTTAAACCCAGAAGAAGTAAAGCATTGCTCTTTTTCAAAATGCATTTTACCAACCTTTATTTTATAAAAATAAAAGGAACTAAGAAATGTGTGTTTGGGGCTGATGGAGTGGCTCAAGTGGTAAAGTGCCTGCCTAGCAAGCGTGAGGCCCAGAGTTCAAACCCCACTGCCACAAATATAAAATAAAATAGCCAGGTGCCGGTGGTTCAAACCTGCAATCCTAGCTACTCAGGAGACAGAGATCAGGAGGATTGAGGTTCAAGGTCAGCCTGATCAAAAAGTTGGTGAGACCCTATCTTGAAGAAACCCTTCACAAAAACGGGCCGGTGGAGTGGCTCAAGGTGCAGGCCCTGAGTTCAAACCCCAGTACTGGAAAAAATACTAATAAGAAACAAATAAATAAAATAAAATAAAAATGTGAGTTTTGACCAGATTCCTGTTGGCCTCTGGTTTCTAGCACTCACACTGGGGGAAAGGAAAGTTCTCGGCGCACAGGGGTCCTGCGGGGAGGGAATGGGAGGAACCGCGGGGAGAACCGTGGGGACGTTTTGAAAGAAGACTGGACGCATTATGGTGCAGACACACGAGCTTTTAAGTGTGGCTGGAGGCAGAGTCTGCTCTTGCACGGTCACCGTGGTGCGTGGCTAAAGCTCGCCCTGCCTGTAGAATCGGTTGAAGTGGGCGCCCCACCTGTGAAACTTGCCTCCCTGCACTTCCTCCTCATCCTCCTCGCGGGCCTTCTTAATTTCTTCCTTGGCCTGGATGGCGTCCATCTCTCTTTCTGGGCCCTGGGGAAAGGCAGGAAAAAATTGGCCCCAATGGTCAGGGATTATGCTGACTGGGCCCAAATGAGTGTCAAAATTCAGTGTGCCCCTGCTTCCAGAAACCTCCATAAGCAACATCGGCTAGACTGGCAATGAACTCTGAAGACAGAAAATGCTCACCCCTAGGGCTGGAGGGGGCTCGGCGGAGGAGCTCTTGCCCACCAGGAGAGAGGTCCTGGCTGCCATCCCCAGCGTCCACCCCCAAAAAAATCCCAGTCTCTGAAACCTGCAAATGTCAGTATGTGTGGGAAAAGCATCTTTGCAAATGTGATTAAAGTAAGCATTTTGAGACGGAGCGATTATCCTGTGTTTTAATCAGCTTCCTATCACTGTGGCAAAATACCTGAGATAATGAAATTATAATAAGGACAGGTTTATTTTGGCTCATACTTTTGGAGCCTTCACTCCATGGTTGCCTGGCCCTATTGCTTTGGGGCCCGCGGCGGGGTGCGTGGACAGGACATCACTGCAGGGAACGTGGGCAGAGGAAACTGCCTCATGACAGCCAGAAAGCAGAATAGACAGGAAGTGTGTGGGGGGGGAGAAGGAGCACTTACATAGCTTCCAGGCCACACCCCCAATGACCTAACTTCCTCCCGCTAGACCCCACCTCTTAAAGGTTCCACCACCTCCCAATAGCACCATAGGCTGGTGACCGAGTCTTGAAAACATAGGCCTATGAGGGACATTGCAGATCCAAACCACAGCACCATGGGACCCTACATTTCCATTCATGGACCTGTGATCCCTGAAGGACACATACAGGAGACCCCCTCATCCAACGTTTAGCTTCCTGGGGTTTCCTTTGCCCACAGTCAAAAGCAGTCTGAAACTATTAAATGGAAAATTCTAGAAATAATTCACAATTTTCAAATAGCTTTTTTTTTCCTTTTTTGCAGTACTGGAGTTCGAACTCAGGGCTTCTCACTTGCTAGGCAGGCACTCTACCATTTAAGCCATTCCATCAGCCCTTTTTTTGTGTGTTAGGTATTTTCCAGATAGGGTCTCATGAACTATTTGTCCAGAGATCAGATCCTCCTGATCTCTGCCTCCTGAGTAAGTAGGAAAACAGGCTTGAGCTGTGGTAACTTATTGCAGTATAGTGCTATAAGTGTTCTATTTTATTATTAGCTGTTATTGCTAACCTTTTACTATGTCTGCTCATAAATTAAAACTTTACATATAAAGGCTGGAGGCATGGCTCAAGTGCTAGAGTGTCTACCTAACAAGTGTGAGGCCCTTAGTTCAAACCCCAACACCTGCAAAAAAGAAAAACAAAATGCAAACTGCATACGTAGAGGAAAAAACATAGCATATACAGGGTTCATACTACCCATGATTTCAGGAATCTGAGGGACATTTTGGAATGCACCCGAAAACAATAAGGGCACTACTGTCCAAGAATGCTCAGAACAAGTGGGGTGCCAGTGGTTCATGCATGTAATCCCAGCTACTTGGGAGGCTGAGAATGAGAGGATCATAGTTCAAGGCCAGCGTGGGCAAATAGTTCTTGAGACCCTAGCTCCAAAATAACCTAAGCAAATGGACTGGAGGTGTGGCTCAAGCAGTAGTGTGTCTGTTGGTTTGTAAGCATTTCAGCCCTGGGTTCAAACCCCCACTCCATCAAACCCCCACTCCATCAAAAAAAAAAAAAAAAGAATGCTCAGAATAGAATAGGTCCCCAAAGTGGATGCAACCCAGAGCTGTGTGGACATGCGTTCTAGAATATTCACACATTCGCTAATTAACATGAATGACTCTCACAACACTGCATGGAAGAGGAGATTTGATGGTTCCTGCTTTGGATGAGTGTCCCCCAAAGGCCCATGTGTTAGGTGCTCAGTCCCCAGCTCGGCTCTGTGGAGAGGTTGGGGAACCTTCAAGAGGTGGGGCCTAGCAGGAGGAGTTTAGGTCATTGGGGGCGTGGCCTCCAAAGGAATGATGGGGCCCTGGCCTCTGCCTCTTCCTCTCTGTTCTGCTCCCTGGTTCGCGATGGGGTGAACAGTTGGGCTCTGCCACATGCTCCCACCACGCCTGAGACGGGCTCAAAGCAACAATACCAAGTGACCATGGACTGCTGTCAACCTCCAAAACCGTGAACCAAAAGAAACCTTCTCTTTTTATAAGTTGGCCATCTCAGCCATTTGTTACAGTAGCGGAAGACTGACTAACACTCTCACTCCCATGAATTTCAGTGTTTGCTTTCTGGGATGAGTGCCACCTGGTGGGTGCACGGAGGCTCCTGGAGTATGGTCAGCCACCAAATCCCGAGCTGGATGGAGAGTTCAATAGTAAACAGTCTCCAGCCTCTTCCTATGTAGTGGCCTTCAGGAGGAAATGGACAAAAGCCAGCACAGGCCAAGAGGAAAGACCGTGCATGCTGTGTACCTTCGTCTCGCCCCAGGTGGCCTTGCCGAATCTCTCTGCATACTCTTCATCATCAGTGATCAGGAAGTTGTCAAAGATGGTTCCCGATCTCACCTGTGGTGACAAGCGGGCCCCTCAGTGTGACATGTGACAGCTCTCCACAGAGACCCACAGTAACACTAAGCCCACTTTGGCAATGCTACACGCCACATGGGGTGACAGTGCACGTCTACCATGCACGAGGCCCGGCTTCCATCCCGGCGCCAAAGTGAAGGAATAAATGAATAAAGGAGTTAACGCTGCCACTGCCTGGCCTCAGGCCTGAGCACTGCAAATGCAACCCAGCTGGGTGCCACCTGGAGTAGGGGACTTTGGAAGCGGCCCGACTAGAATATTCATTGACCTTTGAGAAGTGGGTGCTCTGGAATCCTGCTTCTCAGGCTAGGATTGCAGCTCAGGGCAGGAGCTCTTGCCTAGTGTGCATGAGGCCCTGGTGCCATCCCAGCAACTCAAAGCACTGCTACTAATGCAGAATCCCGGGCCCTGACTGGCCTGTGACATCAGAATCCGCACTTGTGCCCTAAACCTGATAGGCACCACAGGTCAGCTCCAAGCAGAGGGGCTCTAAGGGCGAGGGGAAGCCCAAGGGAGCAAGATGTCAGAACCATGGCTCTATCTCCAGGGCCCAAGTATGGATGCCTAGCACATAGTAAGTGCTCACTGAAAATCAGTTATGTGGCGGGGTGGTGGGCATGACTGGAATCCCAGCACTTGAGATGCTGAAATAGTAAGATCATGAGTTTGAGGACAGCCAGGGATGGACAGTAAGCTCAAGGCTAGCCTGGATTACATAACAAAACCATTTCTCAAACAAACAAAAAGGGCCAGGCATAGAAGCTCATGCTTGTAATCCCAGCTATGTGTGAGGCTAACTTAGGCAAATAAGTAAACAAGACCCTATCTCAAAAAACAATCTGGGTGAGGTGGCTCCTGCCTGAAACACCAGCTAATCAGGAGGTAGAAGAAGGATGATCACAGTCAGAGGCCCAACCTGGGCAAAAGTGCAAGACCCCATCTGAAAAGTAACTAAAGTAAAGCAAATTTGAGTCTGAGTCACCTGCCACAGCTCGAGGCCGATGGCGCCGATGTCCTCGAATTCCGAGAGGTCATACTGTGTCAGGTAACTGGTCCCTTTCACTTTCTGGTGCAGCCACACGTCCTTGCTTATGCCTTCTGGCTTCAGGCCATCCTGCAACAGCACACTAGGGCTGGTCCCAATGGCACAGGGTGGGTGGGTGTGGCAGGGACAGCCCCAGGGTGACCCAGGGCATCATGGAGGCTGCCACACACCTGGTACGGTGGCTTCTGGAGCAATGGCGCCTGCCAGTCCCCATCCAGCTCGCCATTCCAGTCGCTCGGCTTGTTGGCGCTGGCATCCAGAAAGTGTTTCTCCCAGTCCTGCAGAGGGAGATGAAAGGCTAGGGCTCAGGTGGTAGGGAGGACATGATGTGTCAGTGACAGGACAGAGCCCAGGGCCTCCAGCAGTTCAGCAGAGCCGCAGCCTCAGCACCCAGACTGCAATCCTCTTTTTTTGTGTGTGTGTGGTACTGGGGTTTGAACTCAGGGCCTTCTCTTTGACCCACTCCACCGGTCCTATTTTTGTGAACTGTTTTATCAAGATAGAGTGTCAAGAACTATTTGTCTAGGCTTGCTTCGAACCACCATCGTCCTGATCTTTGCCTCCTGAGTATCTGGGATTACAGACATGAGCCACCAGAGCCCAGCCAGACTGCAATCCTTACAGACACAGGCACGTCAGGTCTCTAACTCCGTCCCTATGCTGCCTTCCTCTCAGTTTTAGTAAGGTGGGCATGTGCTCAGGGCCAGTCCCACGCAGGGGTGAGATGACACCACCTTATCTGGCTTTTCTCCCAGCACTCCGTGTGACTTCAGCAGCTGGCCCCATGCAGTGTGGGGAGCCCCAAGTCCTAAAGGTAAAATGATGGGGCAGAAAGTGATGTGCGAGGTCAGGGCTGCTCGGGGACTGTTCCCCGGGGGGAGGGACAGCACATGTATGAAACAGGTCCAGGTTTACCAGAGGACTGCTGGCAAGCAGGAAAAAAGCATGGCACTGTTGTCTCCCACTCACACACACGCTCACATACAGACACACACACATGCACACTGACATATGGACACTCACACACTCACACGGCAAGGTACTGAAATGCGTGTGTCCCCCACAGTAGGCCTTCGAGGTACTGTGGCTTAGATAAGTGAGTGAGCCATTGGTGCCTGGCAAATAAAGTACATTTTAAAAGATTCGTAATGCATTATATCTTTAAAAAAAAAAAAACACACAGGCTGGGCATGGTGGCTCATGGTTGTAAACCTAGCTGCTTGGGAGGCAGAGATCAGGAGGATCACAGTTCAAGGCCAGCCATCTCAACAAAAAGAGCTGGGCATGATGGTATACGTCTGCTATCCCAGCTTACGTGGGAAGCATAAGTAGGAGGATCACAGTCCAGGCTGGATCAGGCACAGCCATGAGTCCTACCCTGAAAAGAACGAAAGCAAAAAGGGCTGATGGAGTGGCTCAAGTGGTAGAGCACCTGCCTAGAAGTGTGAGGCCCTGAGTTCAAACCCCAGTAACACTGCTAAAAAAAAAAAAGAAGCATATTGGTTCGGGCTGGGATGTGGCTCTGTGATAGAGCCACACTTAGCATGCATGGCCCTGGGTTCCATCCCCACCACCAAAATAATAAGAGCTGGCTATAAAAGCAAATCCTGGCGGCTCATGCCTGTAATCCCAGCTACTCAGGAGGCAGAGATCAGGAGGATCGAGGTTCGAAGCCAGCCTGGCAAATAGTTCCAGAGACCCTATCTCAAAAATCCCATCACAAAAGGCTGGTGGAGTGGCTCAAGGTGAAGGCCCTGAGTTCAAGCCCCAGTACTGCAAAAAAATAAATAAGTAAAATAGAATAAAAGCAAATCCTACTGCAGCCATGTCAGCCGACACCACAGAGCTCTTTGGAGGCAGTTGAGCATGTAGCTGTGTGTCTAGTCTCTTAAAATGCCATGACATCTCCATGTGTACAGCCGTTGTGCCATTCCTGGGGACTCGAAAACTCTTCTTGTGCCACATGCCCTCTCCCCAGTGCTCAGAGAGACCCATACCTGGGCCTTGGCATCTTTTGCCTGATCCCAGCCCTGGGCCTCGGCCGACAACTTCTCTGCGGTGTTCAGGGAAGTGACGTTCCAGTCGTACTCGATGCTGCCGGACTCAATAGACTGACCGTCAATTTTCACTTCATAAGAAAGATCTGGTCTTAAAATCAGCGTGTAGAGGTGTGTGAAGCCATCCACCTGCACATTTTAGGGGAAAGATGTCACGATGAAACCTTTCATGTTTCAGTGCAAATGTAAAAATACAGTGTAAGGCAGGCTCCGGTGACTCACGCCTGTAATCCCAGCTCCTCAGGAGGCAGAGATCAAGAGGATTGTGGTTTGAAGCCAGCCAGGGCAAATAATTCGTGAGACCCTACCTTAAAAATCCATCACACACACACACACACAAAAAGTGCTGGTGGAGTGGGTGAAGGTGTAGGTCCTGAGTTCAAGCCTCCGTACCACCAAAAAAAAATAATGCAGTTTAAACCAGGTACCAGGGGCAGGGCGCAGCTCAGTGTAGACCAACTGCTTGGTGTGTGTGAGCCCTGGGCTCTATCCCATACCAGAAGGTGGGGGCATCCTCTGGAGTAAACAGCCTTCCATAGACTATGTCCTCACTTTCCTAAGGGTCCTTCCTTTGAGGGAGTGACCCCTCTGTGCACAGAACATGGGCTCCTGTTCTGTGGTAGGATTGGGAGGTGGTGGAACCTTTAAGAGGTGGGGCCTAGTGGGAGGAAGTTAGGTCACTGGGGGGTGGCCTGGCCTAGTGGGAGGAAGTTAGGTCACTGGGGGGGTGGCCTGGCCTAGTGGGAGGAACTTAGGTCACTGGGGGGTGGCCTGGCCTAGTGGGAGGAACTTAGGTCACTGGGGGGTGGCCTGGATGTTCCCCCCTCCATCACCATGTTCTCCCACCATGATGTGCTGCTTCTCCATAGGCCCAGAAGCAATGCAGCCAACACTTCCAAAGCTTCCAGCCAAGATAAACCTTTTCTCCTGAGTTGGATGCCTTAGTTAAAGCTGTCTACCACAGCTCCCATCCATAAACCACAAGGAATTATGACGGTGATAGGTGTAAACCACTGGGCTCTTTGGCTTCTGGATAGCTCTATGAAAAACAGCTCTGAAAGACACCAGATGAAGTCCACTCTTGAACACATCTGCTTCTCAGGAGAACTTTCTAGTACTCAAAGTGTCCGACTGCTCAGGCATTTCACAGGCAAGGCCTGCAGCCTCTCTTGGTCACAGTCAAAGCTCCAGGTCACGACAAGGGAAGGAGTCAACAAACAGTACAGGAGGAGAGAAGGTGTGTGGCACAGCTGGAAAAACACTTTGGAAAACAAACCAAAGTGGACAAACAATCCTAAAGGGCCTCCTGGACTGGAAACCAGGGACAGGAGGCAGGTTTGCTAAGAGCCATCCCTAGCCCAGTTAAATACTGGAAAGATCTAAGCAATTCTCTCTAAACTTATCAGGCAAGCAGGTGCAGTGGTACACACCTGTAGCGCTGGCTACTCAGGAGGTAGGAGGACTGCTGGCAGCTCAGGACTGGAGACCAGCCTGGGCCAAAAAGCAAGACCTTGTTTTGGAAGGGCAGGGAAGGTCAAGGAAGGGGAGCGAGAGAGAAAGAGAAAACAAAGAGTTAAGATGACCACCCATTTGAATCTGAGAACACTGACGTACCTTACACCTAATTGGTTTCTTGTTTGAGTGATACTGATTCTTGAAATGTAAAATAACATGAACTTTCTTGATATCAAATCCGCAAATATCAGGTCCTGCAAAAAACATTAGATGCTCTCAATTTCCTTCCACAGTGACACTGTAGAGTAACCCTCCCAGCCATTCTCATTCAACAGACGAGGCTCAGGGAGCCTGACATCCAGCATCACCTCATGTTCATAAATTAAGTCGTAAATCTCATACATAAATCAATGATGGCCACCCCCCCCCCCGGTCAGGTCACTTCTCTTTCCATCAAAGTCACCTTGGACAAAATTATAAACCATAAGAAAGGGACATCATGAGGGCCAGAGGCGTGGCTCAAATGGTAGAGCATCTGTCTAGCAAGTGTGAGGCCCTGAGTTCAAACTCCAGTTTCACCAAAAAGAAAAAAAAAAAAGGAAAGGAGGATCTAACAGTCTAACAAGTACCCCCATGTGCTGCGTGAGACTCTGGCTTTTGGCTGAAGTTTGGGTACCGACTCCAGCCTGATCGCTGCTCTCGCTCCCATGCTGGGACATTTGGCAACGACTCAGCCTCAATGTGGGGTGGTAACCCGGTTTATAAAACCCAGATTTCACCTTGGCTTCATAAAGCTATTCTGCCAGTGAAATTGGCTAACTTAGTGAGTCATTTAGCAGAAGTCACTCAGTTCTTGGTGATCCCATTCTGCTACACACAAGTTCATAATGGTAAGTTCAAGTTGCCAGCACGAGATCAGCAGGAAGCATCCGATCAACTGTACGGTCTGCAGGGTTCCACTTGAAAGTTAAGGGGCTTTGGTGCTGTTCTTGTGGTTGGTCGCTTTTTGCAGGGCTGAGGATTGAACCTGGGGTTTGTGCATGCATGCACTCTACCACTGAGATACATCGTCAGCCCTTAAGATTTCTGAGTCAGGGTTTCACTATGTAGCTCAGGCTGGCCTTGAAGTCAAGATCCCCTGCCTGTGATTTCCAGGTACTGAGATCACAGACCTGCACGATCGTGCCCTGCTAAAAGCTAAGGGTCTTTTGTGTGTGCCGTCCACATGCTGTGGTGGGGATGGAACGCAGAGCCTCACACAAGCTAGGCAATCACTACTGGGCCACACTTCCAGCCCAAAGGATTTTAAAATTGATACTTACAGGGTTAAGTTTGAGTCACTAAGGGAATGGAACTCTCTGAGATGGGGTCGGATAAGACACTGGTAAATTCTGAATGCTAAACAAAGTTTATAGGTGGCGTCTGGAAAATTCACCATACCTTTCAGGATGTTTGGAGTCACCACGCTTGGGCTTAAGATCATTAAAACCTCAGAATGTCCCGAGGCGTCTGCTCTTTCTTAGATGGAATTTCACAGCAGCTGCTGACCACGGTGCCCACCCCTGGGGGTTCTGCTAAGCAAACCCAGTGTTAACACAACTACGCTTACTCTAGATGCTTCTTTCCTTGTTGTTTTTGTTTATTGAGACAGGGTCTTTCTGTGTAGCCCAGGCTGACCTCAAACCCATAACCCTCCTGCCTCTGCCTCCCAAGTGCTTGGATTACAGGTATGGCCACCATGCCAAGCTTCTAGAAGTCCAGGATGACTGGAAATTCTTTGTTTTTTATTTTTAATTATTTTTTTCATGGCAGGAGGATCAAGAGACTTCAAGGCCAGCCTGGGCCTCACACCTGTGACTCACACCTGTGATCCTAGCTACTCAGGAGGCAGAGAGCAGGAGGATAGCTGTCTGAAGCCAGCCCATGCAAATAGTTCGTGAGACCCTATCTCAAAAATAAAAACCCTCACAAAAAGTGGCTGGTAGAGTGGCTCAAGGTGTAGCTCCTGAGATCAAATCCCAGTACTACAAAAAGAGAAAAGAAAAAGCCAGCCTGGGCTGCAAAAGGAGTTCCGAGCCAGCTTGGAGTCTCAAAAACAAAACAGACAAATAAAAAACCCACTCAGTCTATCACCCAGCTGAGTCCTGAGGACATGTTTACAAGTTTTTCTGTTCTGTTATCCCTGGGGAATATTCCAGATGCATTTTTTAAACAAAAGCTATGGTATGTGAGCTGTCTAAAGGTCCGCTTCCTCAGGACTCGCCCTTTACAGTCAGTCAGCACTTCCCTCTGTTCCCAGAACGCACACCTAGTGCAGACCAGAAAAATCTGGACACTGAATAAAATATTTATGCCTCTAAGTGATTTTCAAAAGGAACCATGGAGGACAGCTGGGTGCCCCGCTGACCTAGCTTTGAGCAAGCAGTTGAAACTGTGAGCCTCAGTCTCCTTATTTGCGAAGTGGGGGCTGTGATACCTGAGCCCTGGGGCTTTGTGCAGAACTTGACACCACAGGTGGAAAGCTCCTGGCCACCTGTAAGACTGGGATTTGAACTCAGGACCTCACACTTGCTAGGCAGGTGCTCAACTGCTTGAGCTAATCCACCAGCCTTTTTTGTGAAGGGTTTTTTGAGATAGGGTCTTATGAACTATTTTCCCGGGCTGGCTTCGAACTCCGATCCTCCTGATCTCTGTCTCCTGAGTAGCTAGGATTACAGGCATGGGCCACCAGTGCCTGGCTGAACTCCCTTATCTGAAATGCTTAGGAATAGAAGTGTTTCAGGTACAAGTTTTTTGGATTTTGGAATGTGTACTAAACATCTTAACCCAACAATTGAAAAACCAGAAACTTTCTGAGAGTCACTCAAAAAGTTTTGGGGCTGGGTATGGCTCAGTGGTAGATCACTTGTCTAGCATGGTTGAAGCCCTGGGTTCCATCCCTAGCACCTCCAAAAAATGAACAAATTAAAAAAGCTTCAGATGTGAGAATCAGCTTAGGTTGGGTGTTTTCTGTCAAAGGATTTCATCAGTAACCATGGCTGTTACAAATGTTAGTCTCACTTGCTCACTTTCCATATGCTGGCTTCATGGACTCTGCTTAATCTGACGAAGGCTTCAATTAAGAACAAAGGGTTGTGAGGCACCGTGGCTCACACCTGTAATCCTAGCAACACGGGAGGCAGACATCAGGAGGATAGTGTTTGAAGCCAGCCCAGGCAAATAGCTCATGAGACCCTATCTTGAAAAACCCATCACAAAAATAGGGCTGGTGGAGTGGCTCAAGGTGTAGGCCCTGAGTTCATTCAAACCCCAGTACGGCAAAAAAAAAAAAAAAGAAAAAGAAAGAAAGAAAAAAACCAAAGGGTTGTTATGCTCAGCCAGACAAAATTCCACTAGACATCCTGCTTCTAGAGCTGATAACCTAAAACAGTTATTGCTTCCCTGAGCTTTTAAATTTCATCTTCAAAGCCCCCTCCCGATGTCCCCTTTCCAATTAGCCAAACACTTAAGACTGTGAACTGGAAATCTGCCCAATGTAGGGGAGGGGCAGCATTGCGTTAGAGATAAAACCCACATGGACTTCCCACCTGGTGTGCTTGCTCTTTGTCTATGGTGCATCCTTCTGCAGAAGTAAATTTTGCCTTGCCTGTGGACTTCTGAGTTGTGTCATCTCCCTCTCATGACATAACAAGATTTCACAGAATTTGGGGTTTTGGATTTTGGACCAGGGATGCGCAACTTGGATGGTCAGGTTTAATAGTGTTTCAAGGCTTGGGCCAGATGTGTTCAATGCTACTACTTTGGTAGAAAACAGAAATGGTCAAGTCGTGCTGTCTGCACTCACCAAACATAATATAGTACTGCGACTTCCCATTTAGGTTCTTCTGGTCCAGGTCTGCAGGGAGTATCTTGATGTAGCCCCCTCCGCAGTCCATCTTCTGCTGGTGCTTCACTGTGTACTGAATCACCAGTGTCTTCCCTTTATTGGTGAATGGCTTGAAGCGCGCAGAGATGGCATAGAACCGGCTGTTCTGAGTGGTCTGCAGACCTTTCAACAGAGTTGGGTTGTGCTCAGCGATGCAAGGACGTGAAACAGATGTCCCCTCTCTCTCCTGTTCCCGATAACAACCATCTTCTGTCTATAGTGTGCTGACATGGCACACAACGGACATACTCTCTGCTTCCGGGGAACTTGGATTTCGCCTGTGCACAGGTTTCTGTACTGCATACGTCACTGCTAGGTTTGGGGCTTTTTTGGGGTGGGGTGGGGCAGGGATAGAGTTCAAGGCCTTTAGTGTGCTCAGCACTCACTGAGTCACATCCCCAGCCCCACCACTTCTATGTATGTATTTATTTTTGGTGGTGCTGGGGTTTGAGCTCGGGCTTACGCTAGCTAGGCAGGTACTCTACCATTTGAGCCACTCTGCCAGGCCACCACTGCTATATTTTAAAGTTACAAGAGCAGTGGTCACTGGTGGCTCACGCCTGTAATCCCAGCTACTCAGGAGGCAGAGATCAGGAGGATCACAATTTGAAGCCAGCACAGGCAAATAGTACTCGACACCCTATCTCAAAAAACCCATCACAAAAAGGGGCTGGTGGAGTGGCTCAAGGCGAAGGCCTTGAGTTCAAACCCTAGTACTGCAAAACAAAAATAATAGTTACAAAAGTATTTCACCTTTGAATCACAAGTGGGCATTCTAATTATGCATAAAAGGTTAACTTTGCTGCGTGAATCCTCTAGGGGTGGGAATATACAGTGACGCTTTGTGGACACTGAGTAAGAACCGAGACCCACAATTTCTTTTCCTTAATTCTCATCTTAAATCAGCTTAGGTGGGGTTCCTACAGTAGAGCACCTGCTTTGCACAAAGCCCTGAGTTCAAACCCCACTCCCACCAAAAAAACAAAATAAATAAATCAGCTTAGCTACACATGGGATGATGACACGACTGCAGGGGCACCGTGTGGAAAGTGTGTTTCTACACTGGGTGACTGCCCTGGACCTGTCACGGGTGTGATGAGTCTTTATGTGAACACACCATCCCTTTCATCATGTGACTTGTTTCATGGGTTTTTTTGTAAGTTTAGTTAACCACTTCGAGATCAAAACCCCGTTTTTCGGTTGCTACTGGGCTTGGGACAAATCCTTTTCCCTTTTTCTTTTCTTTTCTATGAACTGGGGTTTGAACTCAAGGCCTATAACTGGAGCCACTCCACCAGTCCTTTTTTTGTGATGGGTTTTTTCAAGATAGGGTCTTGTGAATTGTTTGCCTGGGCTGGCTTTGAACTTCAGTCCTCCTCGTCTCTGCCTCTTGAGTAGCTAGGATTACAGCCATGAGCCACTGTGCCTGGCTCTCTTTCTCTTTTCTTTCTTTCCTTCCTTCTTCCTCTTCCCTTCCTTCTTCCCTCCTTCCTCTTCTTTTGTTCCTCTCTTCCTTTCCCTCCCTCCCTCCTTCCTTCTTGCTCTCTTTTCCTTTCCTCTCTTCCTCCCTCCCCTTCTGAGGGTCCTGGGGATAGAACCCAGAACCTCACAAATGCTTAGCAAGCAGTCTACCCAAGCCACCCTCACCCCCAAATCCTCTTATGGTGGACTTTGTCACAGACCTGAGGACAGAGCCACTCCTATTGCAACCTACCCTATGTCATCATAAATAACCTTGCCATTTTGTATCCATGGGTCCAAGCCTCAGCTCAGGCCTGGCTCCCCAGTTTTACCCCACTTCTTCCCTTCTCAAAGGACTTGGAGTCCACACTCAACCTCCTACCAGCAGGGCAGTTCCACAGGCCATGTGATGCTCCACCACTGTCTTGTCACCTCTTTCTCTCTCTGTTGCCAACTCCCATGACTCTGACTAAATCTGACTTATCCGTCCATTTGTGGTTTCTAAGTCATCACCCAGGAGAGCACAAAGCATCCATGTTTACCAGTGTCCCCATGCCCCGTGTGCTCTCAGCAGATCTGGTGCTGAGGAAAAGAACCAGATATGGATAATCTCAGGATTCCAAGCCAAAGGAAGGAAGATGGTCGTGGGGGAGAGGCCACGCCAGCTCTGAGTGGAAAGCCCTACCCTTTGATTACTTTTGTGGAAGAACCTGTTTATTTTCACTCTGGCTTCCTCATTCAACTTGAGGGTTGTTTTGTTTTTGACATGGGGGGAAGAATCTTGCTAAGTAGCTCAGGCAGGCCTCAAACTCATGATCCTCTTGCCTCAGTCTCCCAAGAGCTGAGATTATAGGTGTGCATCACCACACTGGGTGCAGCTTGGGTTTGCACAACTATATGGGTCAACATGATTCTTACAAAACAATGCTCACCCAACCCAAAGCCAGAGGCTGCGGGTCTCAGAGTACCAGAGACTAACATGGCCAAGATAGGGTTTAACTGGAAAGTGGTAAAGAGGGAAACTGAACTGAGGTCCAGGCAAAGGTCAGGGTGAGGGGCATGGCTCAGTAACAGAGCACTAGCCGAGCATGCACAAGGCCCTGGGTTCCATTCCCAGGTCCACAAACAAACAAAGGACCCAAAACTGGTCAGCCAGGCACCAGTGGTCTTGTCTAACAGTCGCTACTTGGGAGACTAAGATGGGAGGACCTAGGTATGAGGTCAGTCCAGGCAAACAGTTTGCAAGACCCCATCTCCAAAATAACCAGAGCAAAATGGACTAGAGGTGTGGCTCAAGTGGTAGAGAGCCTGCTTTGCGAGCATGAAGCCCTGAGTTCAAACCCCAGTCCCCTCCCACCAAAAAAACTCCCCAAACCAGGGGTCAGCCAACTTTTTCTCTAAGGAAGATCAGAAGGTAGCTATTCTTTTTATTTTTTTGTGGTACTGGAACTTGAACTCAGGGCCTACACCTTGAGCCATTCCACCAGCCCTATTTTTGTGATGGGTTTTTTGAGATAGGGTCTCACAAACTATTTGCCTGGGCTGGCTTTGAATGGCGGTCCTCCTGATCTCTGCCTCTAGAGTAGCTAGGATTACAGGTGTGAGTCACCGGCGCCCGGCTCCGATGGTAGGTATTTCAGAATTTGTGGGTCACCTTGTCTCTGTTCCAACTGCTCCTCTATGACTTTGCAGCATAAGTGGGTATTGTGTATCAATATTTAAGTGGGTGTGGCCGTGTTTCAATAAAACTTTATAGACACTAAAGCTTCACATATTCCGTTACATTTTATACCATTTTTTCAGGTTATAAAACATTATTCCCCCTTCATATTTTTCCCCAAAAACTAAAAACGAAAAAAAAATGTACAAGCCACCTTCAGGTCATTGGTATACAAAGTCACATGGCAGACTAGGTACTGCATAGACCTGTGGTCCTCACATGCAGGAAAAAGCCAAAATTGACATCATGGTCCAGACGCTACCTGGGTGTACGCATGTTAAAATTAGGTAGGAACTGTAGGATTTGTGCACTTAACATGTATGTCTGTAGCTTTTACCTCCTTCTTGTTTTTGCAGGGCTGGGGATCGAACCCACAGCCTCAGACATGCTAGGCGAGCACTCTGCCACTGAGCTACATCCCAGTCCAACTTTTTTTTCTTTCTGGCAGCACTGGGGCTTGAACTCAGGGCCTCCCACTTGCTGAGGAGGTGCTCTACCACTTGAGCCACTCCGCCAGTCTTTTCTTGTGAATTTCTTTTTTTTCGGGATAGAGTCTCAAGACCTAATTGCCAGAGGCTGGTTTTGAACTCCAATTCTCCTGATCTCTGCCTCCTGAGTATCTAGGATCACAGGCGTGAGCCAGTGGTGCTAGGCTCTTCATTTTTTAAAAAACTGTGCAAATAAAAACAAGAGGAAATGTCTGCTAATCTTCTTCCCTGTGTGGAGCAAGGCCCTCTGGTTCCCCAGCTCATTGAACTGGCCATCTTGGGCAAGACTGTAAAGAAGAGATAACAAACAAAACCAAGGCAGAAGCATAGCAGGCACTGGGGAGGCGGAGGCGGGAGGTTCCTACGAGGAGGTTCCCAATTGTGCTCAGTGTCCTCCCCTGTGGGGTGCATGCATGCGTGTGGCGGGGGTGTCCCCCCGCCCTAAGGGTCGCCATGCGGGTTTAGTGCGGGCTCCATCTCCTGCTTCTACACCAACCTTTGTCTTTCTCTTTATGACCATAAAACTTCCCCGACGAGAGTCTAAAATACCCAAATTGGGAGTCATTGGTGGACTGCACCCATCGGTTTCTCCATCGCTCTGCGGGCGAAATGACACGAATTAGAGCTGACACGGGGGAGGCGGGTCAAGGTCAGGTTGGGGGATGGGGGACCTCGAGGCTCAGCCACCGTCCATCCCGCGGCGACAGCCCCGGGGGAGCTCACGGCCCCCGCCCCTTCACCTCCATCTAGAAATTCCTCCTGGAAGTAGACAGTGGCCAGCGCCACCGGCAGCAGACAGACGGCCACGAGAGCGACGCCAGCCCGGGCCATGAGGGCGCGCGCGACGCTCCGCCTCCTAAGAGCCCCTTTGCTCCCAGTAGTCTGTTCGGCAAGCCGGGCCCGACCCGAAACTACAACTCCCGACACGCCCCGCGATTATGACCTGAGACATCATTGGTCCCCGTAGCGCGGTGCACATCGGGAACACCCTGAAACTCCTACTCCCATGACGCTCCGCGATTATGATCTGGGACGCCATTGGCCTCCTGAGCGTGGTGGCCAGCGGGAGCTGTAGTCTCTTCCTCTCTGGCGCGGTTGTCCGGGGCAACGGTACCCTAGGGCCTGGGTGCTTGGCGGGAGCTTCGCGGAGGCTTCCGTGGATGGACAGCGTGACAACGGGACCGAGAGGCTGCCGGCAACGACTAGGTGGCCACCCGGACACACGAGGGGGGCTGCGGGAAAGAGAGGCGCCGTCGGGGCTGGGCTGATCGGACGGCGGGAGGGCGGCCCCGTGCCTCAGTTTCCCCACTTGGGAGCCTTGGGTTGCTAAAACGCCGGGGAGCCGGAGCCCGATAGTCCACGGGACGTTAGTAGTTTCAAAGCTTAACTTATGTATTTTTAACATTTGTAAACTGTACTATTTGCCTTCGCTAAGTTGCCCGGGCTGGCCTCGAACTCTCGGTGCTCCTGTCTTAGCCTCCTGATTCGCTGTGATTGCTGACGGGCGCCTCCACGCCTGGCATGGCGATCGCTTACTCCTCATTGGGCAAAGGAATTGTATGAAGGTATTAGTGGTTGTTTTTACAGGAGAGCATGCCATGGCACAGAGCTGTTAAGTAATTTAGCCAGTGTCACACAGAGAGGGAATTCTGGGCACTTCGTACAGCAGGGTTACCGTGGGGTGCAACCTTAATCTTAGGAGTGTTTAGAGGCACTGCCCTTGTAGGATTAGCATCAGATAAGGATCAGATAAGGTCTTCAGGGTGGGGCCCCCAGAATCGAATCTTGATGACTTCGTAAAGGGTTCGATGACCAGAAGAGACAGACTGGGTGCTCCACATCTCTTGCAATGTGATTCCCTGTGCTGGCTTGGGACTCTGCCGGCCAGGACGTCATCATTAGCCTGGTGTGGTGCTTCACACCTATAATCCCAGCTCTGCAGGAGGTGGAGGTAGGAGGATCGTCATCTGTGGCCAGCCTGGGCAAAAGCATGACACCCTATGTGAAAAATCACAAAAGGGTTGGGGGCCTGCCTCAAGCTGTAGAGCGCTTGCCTGCCTGCCTGGTGAGCGCAAGGCCCTCATTTCAGCCCCCAGAAGACTGGTGGCACTGCATAGGTGGGTTCTTACACTGCTTCGTGGTTCTATAACAGAATACTTGACGCTGCTTCATCCATAAAGGCGAAAGGTGTATTTAGCTCATGGTTGCAGAGGCTTGGGGGGTGGGGGGGGTCCTTGGCTTTGTGACTGCTTCTGGAGAGAGCTGGTACTGTGTTATAACGTAGTGGGAAGCCAGGTGAGGTGGCTCACACCTGTAGTCCTAGCTACTTGGGAGGCTGAGATCAGGAGGTTCGTAGTTTTAGTTCAACCCAAGCAAGTATTTCTTGAGACCCCCCCCATCTCCAAAATAACAAGAGCAAAATGGACTGGAGGAGTGGCTCAAGTGTTAGAGAGCCTGCTTTGACAGTGCAAAGTGCTGAGTTCAAACTCCAGTCACACATAACCCCCCCCCCAAAAAAAGGCAGACCAGCACCTATAGAATAGACAGGGCACAATGACTTTGTAACAACCCACTCCCCAGAGAGCAGCATTAATCTCACGCTTTTTCTCTCTCTTTTTGTGGTTCTGGGGATCAAATGCAGGTCATTGCATGCACGGGACAAGTGCTCTGCCACTGAGCCAGGTCCCCAGCCCACATCATCCCTCTTGGCAACCCATCTCCTGCCACCGGCACATGGCAGTCTGATTATTATTATTTTTTTTTTTGGTGGCCCTGGGATTTGAACTCAGGACCTCACCTTGCTAGGCAGGCACTCTACCTCTTGAGCAATTCCACCAGCCCTGTCTTATGATCAGTTTTTTTGAGATAGAGTCTCCAGAACAATTTTCTAGGGCTGGCTTCAAACCTTGAACCTCCTGATCTCTGCTTCCTGAGTAGCTGGGATTACAGGTGTGAGCCACTGGTGCCTGGCTGGCCATGTAAATTCAACTCACGTTTCTGGGCAGACACAGCACATTCAGACCATAGTAGGTCATGTGGTCTTTAGCCACATGGGGACCCTCAAAGGCACAGTACAAACGGGGTGACCTCACGAGAAACTCTCTTTCTTCCCTAGCATGGCTTCCACGAGAAAACTCCGCCACCCCACATGTGACATTTCTGACTTTAGTGACCTCTCCCTGCAAGATTCAAAGATGGACATCTTTAGAGACCTGGGTATCCATGCCAGTCTTGCCCACGTGGCACCCAGTCACAGCAGGTTCCTCAAAAGGAGCCAAATGATGGGTGAGACACGGGTGATCTCCAAAGAGGATGCTGACCCCAGGAGGGGACCCAGGGCCAGCACTGCCTCGAACCTCAGGGCCAGTGCAGCTCTCACGAGGCTGGCCCACATGGAGACCAAGATCCTGGGGCGCAAGAGGGTGCCTGCCACTTGGTCTGACTCGGAGTCTGACCCCAAGACCCCTAGTGAGGGTCGTCACAAGACAGGTAACCAAACGGTCCCCAAGAGATCCACCAGCCTTTCTGCACAGCAGACAGACACAACCTTCCAGAAGCAAGTCCAGGACACAAGCCCCACGGTCCAGAGTCGAGGGCCAAGTGAGAAAGGGAGCAGGTTTCTAAAGAAGAGAGTGCCACCCACTCCGAACATGTCCCCCGACGCCCACGAGAAAGAGAGGACTGTCCCGGTGCCCAGACCAAACGAACCGACCAGAAAAATGCATTTGCCAGGCAGCGATGAAGAGGAAGTGAAAGGGATGCTAGGAAGCTTGATGGAGTCTCCTAGAGAAAAAGAGACATGCCCAAATCAGGGGCTCCCCAAAACTACGGTCAGCAAGAAAGAACTTGGGAAACCATTGTTGGTGAGGTTTTTGTTTGTTCATTTTAAAAATTATTTTTATTAATTTTTTTTGGAGGGACTGGGATTTGAACTCAGGACTTTGTGCTTGCAAAGCAGGTGCTCTACCACTTGAGCCTCACCTCCCTCCAAAATAATCTCTGGTTATTTTTGGATATGAGGTCTCAAGAACTATTTGCCAGGTTGGCATCAAATCACAGTCCTCATCTCAGCCTCCCAAGTAGTTGGCATAACAGGCCTGAGCCACTGGCACCCAGCTTGTTCATTTTATTTATTTATGGTTTTTGAGACAGGGTCTCACTATGCAGCCCAGGCTGGCCTTGAACTCAGGATCCTCCCACCTCCTGCGTGCCGGGATTACAGGCGTGCACTACCATGTCTGGCTGCAAAGGATATCCTCAAGGGTACAAATAAACAGCCAAATGGAGAGGTGCGTGGCCGAGGTCTGGGGCTCCTGAGCACGGAGCGGGAGGCAGTCCTCCAGCAAGCCTGCCCACACACAGCTGTCCGCAAGCCCTCAGCCCTTACCTTTGGGTTTTGGGGAGGCTCTGCGGACTAGTTGTGATGAAGCAGGGACGGCATGTAGAAGCGTGGTTGGACATAAGGATGTGACCTATTATTACAGACTGGCGGGGACACCCAGGCGGGCTTGTCCCTGCAGGCCTATCCCTTTTTGGCCTCTCTGGGCAGCCATTCTTCCTCCCAGGTATGGGGCAGGACCCCATGGCCTTAGAATCTACTATCAGAGAATTCCTTTTGCTTTTAGTGGTACTGGGGTTTGAACTCAGGGCTTTGTGCCTGCTAGGCAGGCGCTCTGCTGCTTGAGCCACACATCCAGCGTCTGTTTAATTTTTTGAGGGCCTGAACCGGTGTACATACACCCCAGCAGCAATCTGGGGGGGTTCGAAGCTCCACAGCTTTGCCTCCTCTGTTAGTCCCTGTTTTATGGAGATAAGCATTGCGGGGTGTGACATAGCACAAAGCCTGTGTTTTGGAGGGGAGGAGTCTGCACATTTACTTTGATTCTCTTGAAAGGCTGGGCTGTCCTAGATTGTGTACTTTTAGGGCTGGAAGAGCCTTAATTTAGAAAATATAATGGGGTGGGGCAGAGAAGAAAAAAATAGTAAGGTGGGTGTGGTTGTGCACACCTGTAGTCCCCACTACTTGGGAGGAGGAGGCAGAAGGCCGAGTCCAGGAGTTTGAGGTCATCTTGGGTCACATAGTGATAGCCTGTCTCCAAAAAAAAAGGCCAGGCGCTGGCGGCGCACACCTGTAATCCCAGCTTAATCCCTGCTATTTAGGAGGCTGAGATCAGGAGGATTGTGGTTCAAGGCCAGCCCAGGCAAATAATTCTCAAGACCCTATCTCCAAAATAACCAGAGCAAAATGGACTGGAGGTGTGGCCCAAGAGGTAGAGCGCTTGCTTTGTAAGCATAAAGCCCTGAGTTCAAGTCCCAGTCCCACCAGAAAAAAAGAAAGGAAAAAGGAGTCCTTAACAATATTTATTTGATAGCAAAGTGACGTTTCTGATTATTAGCAGAATGTTCTCTATCTGCTACATTACATGTGTGCCTTGACTTCCAAGAACAGCACAAGGGAGAGAGGGCACAGAGATAAAACTTCAGCTGAGGTCTTTGCTGGTGGATGATACGGGACGATGTTGTTAGGACTTTGGTGACATTGTGTCTTTTATGTTCACGAAAGTAGAACCAGCTCCAGACCCAGCCGGGAGTCCTCTCTCTGCCCCGTGCAGAATATTCCAGCTCCCAGCCTTCCCCGCCGTCACGCCCGCCAACCTCACGGTCACCCCTCGGGACCCTTCGCAGCCTTCGCTCAAGACCTCGCTCTGCACAGACCCCGGTCTCCGGGGACCCAGCCTCCCGCACATCCTCGCTCTCCATATCAGGCGCCTTTTCCAAATCAGCATCCTCAAAACTCGTGTCCTCTCCCAGGAGGAGTGAGGCCGGGCCTTGGGGTGAGCTGGTCTCAGAAGACACCAACGACAGCCTGAACGGTAACCCATGTCCTTGTGCAAGGTCATAACCCTGGGCAGAAAGGAAGTATGCAGCCGGGCATGGTGGTACACACCTGTAATCCCAGCACTTGGGAGGCTGAGGCCAGCTTGGGAGAAAGATGGCAGTGTGGGGGGGGGGGCGAGGGATGGGAAGGAAGGAAGGGAAGGTGGGAGGAACGGAGGAAGGGAGGAAGGAAAAGAGATCACTTTTAGGGTCCCCAGCGAGATAGTCCACGGCGTTGCCATGGACAGTGAGTGGCAATGTCACCCTTCCGACTGGTTGAGTGGCAGGATTCCCACCTTGCCTCTGGCTGGCTCTGCGATCTTGGGCCTCCTTGTCCTCATGTGTAACGTGGGGGCAGTGCTAGGACGTGTGGTGGTCACAAGGGGTCCGTGGAAAGGTCTTCAGCTGGCACTCCCTCCCTGGATGTGCATGTCCGAGTCGGCCATGGTGACAGTCCTGTCACCCAGTGCCAACACAAGTCTCAACCTCCTGTATTGCCTTTGTGCTGGGCCACTGGGGATAACTTGGTCCAGCCACTTTGCCTCCTGGGGCATGGTCTCCTGTGGGCCCTTGTACCTCGCTGCCCCAGGCACGGTGGGGACAGGGAGGATTGGAGGAGCTCGGCGGAGGGGTCCCTGGAGGAGCTGGCCTGGAGAGAGGGAGGACCTGGCCGGGTCATGTGGGACAGAGCAGGCGGCTCGCTCTGCTCCTGCCTCACCTCCTCTCTGGGCCTCCACCCGCAGGGCCTTGTCCCCAGCCTGCTACCCCAGAAACTTGTCCCCCGCCCATGGCACCGCTTGGACGCCGCAGGCCCCGTGAGGCGCCCACCAGGACCACCATGTGTAGTTTTTGCCCCTGCTTGGATTGAGGGAGCCCCCAGCGTGCGCGTGCACGTGCACACGCCCATGTGCGCGCTCCCGCTCTCTGGGGACCTTGGGCACGCAGAGCCTCGCTGCTCCTGGTCGGTTGAGTGGCCTCCACGCCGCTGGCCCAGACCCCCACAGAAGTCCCCCAGTCAAGTGCTTTCTCTGCCGGGCCACTCTGCCTGGTCCCCCCTTTTTTTTTTGCCAGTACTGGGGTTTGAACTCAGGGCCTTACACCTTGAGCCCCTCCACCAGCCCTTTTGGGTTTTTTTTTTTGTGATGAGCTTTTTAGAGATGGGGTCTCAAGTGAACTATTTGCCCAGACTAAGCACGCCCTCTGCTGCTGAGCTGAGCTGCACCCTAGCCGCCAGGACCCCAGAAATGCTTTAGGCTTTTGGGGGAGGGGGCAGGACTGGGATTTGAACTCAGGGCCTGACACCTGCTAGGCAGGCGCTCTGCTCCCTGAGCCACGCCCCAGCGCTGGAACAGTCTTTGGAGTGGGGACCGTCCTGTGCACTGCAGGACCCCGACAGAATCCCTGGATGGAACCGCGATCCTCCTGATCTCTGCCTCCTGAGTGGCTGGGATTACAGGCGTGAGCCGCGGTGCTCAGCTGTCTTCATATCTTTCTAAACGTTCGTGGAGCATAAAGGAGTTGACACCACTTCTTCAATTACAGATTTTAGGGTCAACATCTTGTCGCTTGATGATCTGTCTCCTGTTACCAGCAAGAAATCAGAGTTGGATCAAAAAGTAAGAATAAGGACTTATTCCCTCCCCCCCACTACCTATTCCTTGTCGTTTTTCCTCAGTGCTGGGGATGGAGCCGAGGGCCCGGTGCTTGCTTGGTGAGGCCCCCACTCTGCCACACCACAGTCATTTGAAATTGTGGGAAGCCTTGTGCCCGGAACGTGCTGTTGTCACCAGTGGCTTTCCATGGGAGTAATTCTGAGCCCCAGGCGACAATGGTATCATTTGGCACAGTTTGGTTGTCACAAGTGGGGAGCAGGTAGGGCTGCCATCTCTAGGGGGCGGGGGCCAGGGATCCTGCTTGGGGGTCCCTGAAGTGCACAGGACGGTCCCCAATTCCAAAGAATGTTCCAGGGCTGGGGCGTGGCTCAGGGAGCAGAGTGCCTGCCTAGCAGGTGTCAGGCCCTGAGTTCAAATCCCAGTCCTGCCCCCTCCCCCAAAAGCCTAAGGCATTTCTGGGGTCCTGGCGGCTAGGGTGCAGCTCAGCTCAGCAGCAGAGGGCGTGCTCAGCATGCATGAGGTCCTGGGTCCCCCTGCCCCCCAAAGACTGCCTTAGAACCTCCTGCCCAAACCAGTGGAGGAACAGAGCGTCCCCTCCCCTTCTGGGAGCTCAGGAGGTGCCTGTGCACAGAAGGTGGGAGTTTATTAATTAATTCTGATTTTTTGCAGTCCTGGGGGTGGAGCCCAGGGTCCCCACGTGCTAGGCAGGCATTCTGCCTCTGGGCTGCACCCCCAGCCCTGTTTCTTAGTTTTTGGACACAGGGTCTCTGTACAGCCCCAGGCTGGTCTTGAACTCATGTCCCTCCACCTCCCAAGTGCTGGCAGCAGGTGTGCACCGCCGTGCCCGGCTCCACTGCGGTGTCTTTCAGGATCTCCCTGTTCCCTCTGCCACCTGTCATTTCAGGAAGACACTGGCAGAGAAAGACTGTCAGGCAAAGCTGAGTCACCTGGAGGCCTGGAGGCACCAAGACGTGAGCAGCCCAGGGGCTCAGCCTTTCAGGGAGGGGCCGCCTCTGTGGCTTCGGATGACAGCGACGTCTCGGAGTGCCTGGGAGCCAGCTCGGCCTGCCCGGCCCAGGAGGGCAGTGTGTCCAGCTCAAGGCCACTATCGGAAACCCCGATGGCGACCACAATGAGTGTGGCTTACTCGGAGGACTTTGAGTGCCCTGCAAGTGCCACGACCTCTGACCCGATGGCCCCCTCCACAGAGGCCCCCGACAGGACGCTGGACGCTCTGTCCGAGTTCTCTTCCAGTCTCACCACCGACCTCTCCAAGTCACCTCGGAAGAGGTGGCGCAGGGACGTGACAAGAGTGCTTGTGAAGGAGATGGCTGTGCAGACCCTCGAGCCTGCCTTCGCCTACCGGTGGGCCAGGGGTGAGTGTGGTGGCCAGGGTGACCAGGCTCTCCGGCGCAGCCGGCAGAGTCACAGGAGCACAGGCTCCCCGGGTCTGGGCTCTTGTCACTAAGCAGCTGGCCTGGGTGTTGTCAATGCCCTCTGAGCTCTGGGACATTTAGGAAAGTTCCAGAATCAAAGACACAGGCAGCGTGTCTCAGCTGGGGCACTTCTGACACCAGGGGCCGTTGGCAAGGTCTGGAGACAGTTCTGGTCACCACGGCCGGGAACAGGGCGCTCCTGACATCTGTGTCCCACAGGGTACAGGACATGTCGGCCTTGAGACAGGGGCCAGGGCCTGTGTCCCTGGAAGACGTCCCCACCTTCACCAGGCTCCAGCCCTGCACCCACAGGCCAGGCTGCCCTCTCAAGCTGGAGTGGAAGCCACTGGGCCACCGCTCCCAAAGTCCCCACCCCCGCCAGGCCACACTCCCCCCACAGGCTTCCAGGCCTGTGTTCCAGTGAGTCCCGGAGGGGACACCTGTCACGCCCCGCCAGGGCTGGCGCCCACTGGTCTCCTTTCCTCCTTGTGTAGGCGGCACTCACGGGGGACGGGCATGGGGCTCTCATTGGTGGCTTTGTCTTGATTTGGGGTCTTACGTATGTCAGCCTTGCTCCCACCTGGACCAGGGGTGACTGCTGTTTCTTGGGAAGAGGAGGTTTTTTTGTTTTGGGATTCTGGGGCTTGAACTCAGGGCCTACACCTTGAGCCACCCCGCCAGCCCTTTCTTGTGTTGGGTTTCTTTGAGATAGGGTCTCACAAACTATTTGCCCGGGCTGGCTTCGAACCTCCATCCTCCTGATCTCTGCCTCCTGAGTAGCTGGGATTACAGGCGTGAGCCACGGTGCCTGGCACGCGCCTGGCTTTGCACGGTATTTTTTTTGATTTCCTTTACTCCTGTGTGCATACAATGATTGGTCATTTCCCCACCTTCCCCTCCTCCTCCCTTCCTCCCGCCCCTTCGCTTCCAGGCAGAAACCGTTTTGCCCTAAAAACATGCAACGCTTCAGGAATTTGCGTGTCACCTGGCACAGGGGCCGTGCTGGTCCTCTCTGCATCGCGGCAGTTTTAGCACGTGTGCTGCCGAAGCGAGCGCCTCACACGGTATTTGAAACTGGGTGTCGGGGACTCGGTTCCCGTCTACACGCCACGTCCCTGTTAGCGTAGCCATCACCCGTGTACGAGTTTTGGCTTCTTGGAGTATTGGTGGTGGCGTTTTCCTGGAAGGGCCTGACAAAGAAGAGGCCGGGCACTGGTTGGTGGCTCACGCCTGTAATCCCAGCTACTCAGGAGGCAGAGATGAGGAGGATCGCAGTTCGAAGCCAGCCCGGGCAAATTGTTTCCAAGACCCTATCTCAAAAAACCCTTCAAAAAGGGGCAGTGGGTGGCTCAAGGTGAAGGCCCTGAGTTCAAGCCCCAGCACTGCAACACAAAAACAGTGATCTGGGCGAGCGTGATGGCACGGTGGCACCTGTGGTCCTGACACCGGGAGGTAGAGGTCACTTGGGCTCAGGTGTACCAGGCCAGCCTGGGCCACACAGTCAGGCCCTGTGTGAGAAACACAAACGGAAAAGCCAGCGGTGTGACCAGCAGGCTCAGAAGAGCAAAGAGCAGGTACTGTGGCTTTGCTAGGTGTCACATTTGTGGAGAGGGGCGCTCCTGTCCCGCCCTCACCTGCTCCCCCTTTGTCTTTGGGACAGCGGCTGGCGTGGCGGCCATCGGACCTGGCCTGGGAGGAGCCTACGTAGATCCAGTGCCCATTGCCAGTCATGTGGTCAGCGCCGACGCGGTGGAAGGTAAGAGTGGACTGGTGGCTCCTTCCCTGGAGGTGACACATGTCCCTGTGTATGCAGCCTGCTCCTGAGGCTGGGCTCCAGGGCCCCATTGGGGGTCACCCAGCCAGCACTAGGGTCCCAGAGGCCAGCCCGAGGCCTGCTGGGAGCTGCTGTCTGCTCTGTCCCTAGGGCCCACCTAGGGAACAACACAGGGCGCTCAGAGGCTCACCATGTCCCCAGGTCCTTTTCAAATTTAAAATAGGCCTGGTGGAGTGGCTCAAGTGGTAGAGCGCCTGCCTAGCAATAGTGAGGCCCTGAGTTCAAATCCCAGTACTGCAAAAAAAAAAAAGAAAAAGAAAAGAAATTTAAAATTAATGTTTGTTTTTTTAAGTAATGGGCTTTTAGCCTGGCACGGTGAGGTGCGCCTGTAATCCCAGCTATGGGGGAGGCTGAGGCGGGAGGCTGACTTGGACACAGGAGTTTGCAGCAGGGCCCTGTTAAATTCTTTGTGACATGGTAGCACGCACTGACACATAATCGCGGTGTTTCACAAGGGACAGAGACGGCTGGAGGCGAGCCCTCAGCCGGTAGCAGAGCCACCAGAGGGCAGCCTGGCATTGCCGAGTGGCGGCTCCTGGGAGGGTGGGTACCGGGGAGCCCCTGAGTGATGTGGCGCGGGGCAGCCCTGACAGCGTACAGCCCGGCCGCGCTGGCTCTGCACGACATGCTGAAGCAGCAGCTAAGCCTGACGCAGCAGTTCATCGAGGCCAGCCGCCACCTGCACGTGTCGCTCCTGCAGTCCCTGGACGGGGACTCCTTCCACTACCACACCCTGGAGGAAACTAAAGAGGTGAACGCGGCACGGGGCGACGGTCGGGTGGGGGCGCCTCAGCGATGCCCCGCCGAGGAGGGACTGGCATGGGGCCTGGAGGGGCGTGGTGGGGCCCGACTGTCACCTTTTGTCTGTCAGTTTTCATTTTCTCCTCGTCCTGTGACAAGAGCCATTCCGGGGGGCGGGGCTGGGAGCCTGGGCTCTGTGTGGCCTGCACCAGAAGGGACTTCCTGTCGGGGGCACTTGTACCCCGTGCAAATCCAGTGCTGCCTGGAGTCGGGCCAGAGGCGACGCTGGCCTTTGTCCCTTGCAAAGCAGGCGCTCTGCTGCTTGAGCCACAGCTCCCGTCCATTTTGCTCGGGTTATTCTGGAGATGGGGTCTCTAGAACTACTTGCCTGGGCTGACCTTGACCTGCGATCCTCCTGATCTCAGCCTCCCAAGTGGCCGGGATTACAGGCGTGAGCCACCAGGGCCCAGCAGCACTGGGCTTTTCTGTGGGGTCATGTGGGCTGAGGCTCGGGGCACCGGTCACCCTTACCACCCTGTAATTCTTGTCCGAAAACCAGAAAACCAATGTGGCGTTTTATAGCGATCTCGTTCCAGTGGTGTCGCTCACCAGCGTCGCCAGCCCAGCTGTCACTGTCCCTGTGCGGAATGCGGGGCGTGTTGGTGACGAGCGCTGGCGCCGTTGTCTGGGGTGCCTTCCCAATGCAGACCTCGGTTTAGAACGTCGCGGTGGCACGGGCCTAGGAAGTCCACGCCACAAGCCGCGTGTTGTCTGCGTGTCGTTACTTGTCCGTTTTGTCGCCATTGGTTTATTTTTTGTGTGGCGCTGGGGATGGGACCCAGGGCAGGGCCCGTCACACCTTGAGCACTGCTGTCACTAAGCCGCCCCCCAACCCCGCCCCACTTTAAAATCAGGACCCTAGGTCTACACGTGGTCTCTGTGCTACTGGGATTTGAACTCGGGCGCTCCCGCTTGAGCCGGGCCCCAGCCCTCTTATTTTTGAGACGGGCTCTGGCTCGGGGGCCCAGGGTGGCGCTGCCTCCGCCCCTCTACGCGGGTCCAGGGCAGGAGGCGCTCCCAGCCCCTCTGAGCAGCACTGTCCGCAGCCCCGCCGCCTCCCCGTCCACCTGCTGGAAAGCAGGCCGCGCTGTCCCGAGGGCCGCACTGCTGCTTTGGGGACCTTTCCTGTTGCGCGCAGTGACCGATAAGTAGCTGATGCAGCCTGATCGTGCCACCGTGGCTCCCTGCTGCCCGCCCCGCCCCAGGGCTGTGTCCTGAGGGCACCTGCCCAGGTCTCCCTCGTTGCAGGACACTTGTCCCCTCCTGCCACACAGCATCCCACCTTTCACTTTTGTCAGGTCCCACTGTCCTGTCTCCTCCCCAGCACTCAGCCCCGTGGTGACGGTGACAGTGTCACCATCTGCCCTCCACCCTACAGTACATTAGGTGCCACAGGCCCAGGCCGCTGACTCTGGAGGACGCCCTGCAGAAGGTGAAGGAGGAGCTGTGAGCATCTGAGGTGACAGACAGGTCCCAGGAGCCACGAGGGACAGCGTGACCGCAGCCTCAAGGACCTACCACCTGGGTCGAGATGTCACTACCCCACGGCAGGATGGAGGCCGCCACCCAGCGCTGGTGACCCAGCAGAGTCGTTCACCGAGGGACACGGACTCTTGAGCCAGATGCCAGGACGGCAGTGCTGAGCCCGGCCTCCCTCGTCACCGTGGCGCGCACACTTGTGACTCACGCAGAGGAAGCACTCTGTTAAAAAAGGCTTTATTTGACGGCAAAACAGTAAAATTCACGAGAAACTAGCAACAGCACGTGTTTCCTGTCATCCCGAACGAGACACGTTCCAACAAGCCACAGCTACGGGAAATCTAGAACAAACTCAAACGTTCCGCACGCCGCCAGGTTGCGGAGGGCTCTGCGTCAGAGGAAAGCAGCGTCCGGTGTCTGTACAGACGGGCCACCGCGCCTCTGCCAGGGCTCTAGGTGTGGCGGTCCCCAGCAGCTTCTGGCAGAGGCGCGGTGGCTCCCTCTTGGCGGCCGGGGGCAGGTGGGGTGAGAGGGCAGGAGGTGCCACCTGGGCGGTGGCGCGGTTCGTGAGTGCTGGTGTCGGGGTTCCCCGAGCAGAGGTGCCCAGTGTGTCACTCCCAGCCCAAGGGGCCCTAGGTCTCCTGAGAGCCTGTCACCCAGCTGACGGCCACCAGCTGACGCTTGGGAAAAGATCAGTGTACACAACCAGAACTCAACTGGGGTGGACGTCAGAGGACTCAGGCTTCAGGTGACCCGGGGATCGCCTAGGTCACGTTCTTGTCGCTGACACCACACCAAGTGCAGTGAGAGTGACAGCCCGCCGGCCTCAGCTTTCCTTGTGTTGCGAGTGGGGTTGGCCTGGCGCCAGGCCGTGCACACCGGCCCAGGGAGGGTTCCCACTTGGGGCAGGGGGTCCCTGTGCCCACGCTCACTGGCTCCTCCCAGCTGTGGTGTGCGACGCCACCCGGCAGGACCGCACCATCCTGCGCCAGGCTCCCTGTCAGCCCAGGCCCGCCTCAGTCCTCCTTCTCCTCCTTGCGTGCCCCAAACGTGGAGACTGCGGGAAGAGCAGACGTCAGTGGACCTGCCGCGGGCGGGGAGGCCCGCAGTCCGCCCGCCGCCACGCTACTTACACTCGTCCCTGGCCTTCATGCGGGCGATGAAGGAGTAGCTCTTGTTGCGCCGGTAGTTCTCGTAGGGGTCATCCAGGGCCACGCCCACGCCCTTGTACTGGTCCCACTTGTCGCGCACATCCCCGCCCTTGATAGGGTCCTGGATCCCCTGCTCTTTTGCACCAAGGCCGCCAGAACCACTCCAACCTGAAGAGACAGAGGGACTCTGCAGTGCTGGCAGGCAGCGGGAGGTCACGACCGTGGTGTCGCATGCTGGGCGCAGCTGACTGCGCTTGGAGAGTTGAGTCGTACAGGAGCGGATTTTGCACGTCGTGGGGTGGGAAGAACAAGAAGCACCGACCCACAGTGTGCCTGGACCAGAGGGACCGTCACCTCCTGCACCCCAAGTGGGTGAGCAGGGTCCCGAACACTTACCCATCTTCACCAGCATCTGGTGGCCTTTGTTCTCTTCTCCGAGCCTGGAGTCGGGTATCGGAGGTGCTGAATTCGAACCCAGACCAGCGGAGGAGCTAGAACGAACACAGGCTCCGGTTTAGAAGGGACAGCAGATGGTCCGTCAGTAATCACAACACTGCGGGCAGTGCATGGCTAACCAGTGGCCACTGAGGACAGCCGGCCTCCTGTCTCTCTTGCTTTTCACCCCCTCAGCCCAGTAAGGGGGTTCTCTTAGCGTCAAGGGCCTGATGTCACAGCCCATGTATGCTCTGAGGTGTTGGTGGCCCGGGCCAGTGCCCCGCCCTCCTCCCACCAGCGATGGGCTCTCACGGAGGGGTGGGGCTCCTGGATCTCGAGCGCCGCCTTCTTCCCGGGGAGTATGACTTGGACCTGGACCGGGACCTGGACCGGGAGCGGCTTCTGGATGAGTGAGAGCGGCTCCGGCTCCTGTGGGGACAGCAGACACTGTCAGCCTGGCAGTCCCACGGTGGTGGCGTTCTGTACGTGCCGTGCACCACGCCAGCACCGCTTGCCTACCTGGAGCGGGAGCGGGAGTAGGAGCGCGAGCAGGAGCGTGACCTGGACCTGGAGTACGACCCTGATGACTTGGAGGACCTCGAGTGCGAGCGGGAGGAGGAGCGCCCGCGGCTCTTGGATCTGCTGCGGGACCTGGAGGGGCCGCTGCGGGAGAGGCGTGGTGAGAGGACCCTGGCCAGCTGCGGGGTCCCTGGGCCTGCCAGCCACGCTGACCTGTGTGGGCCGGAGCTCACCTGTTCCTCTTCTCCTGGCCTTTCCGCCGCCGCGCCCGCATCTTTGCTCGGAAGAACTCGTACAGGCCGTTCTGCTCCCAGCCTTCACTGCAAGACACGTGCAGGACCCCATGGCACAGACGACCTCCTGCAAGGGGACTCGGGAATCGCCAGATGACATGGTCCACAAGGCAGGTGCACCGGGTGCTCCTGTTTGTCTCTTGCAGAGTTGGGGCTATGGGGAACCTGTGGCCATTGTCACTGGGGCAAGGCAGGAACAGGGCTCCAGGCAGCTCGGTATGTGACGGCTGCTGCACCTGGGACCCTTCCTGTTGTAGGATGGGTGCAGAGCCCCTCACGGAGACGGGACACACTGCTCCCCAGACGCAGCACGCAGGAGGGCCTGGGTCCCATCCCCGCCACGAGACGACCAGAAAGGGCCGCCATGTGTTCTCACTGGGACAGAAGACCTGGCCGTTTGGGAGTTTCTCTCAAATGACATAGACTCAGGGAGAGGGGACAGGAGGCCCCAGCCCCGCCCCCGCCGTGTCAGAGCCCTACCTGTTTCTGGGCCTGTCGTGGGAGGGTGGGCTGTAAAAGGCTTCCACGGCCGCCAGCAGCCTCTCGCTGGGCGGCATGGGCGGCGGGAGGCGGATGTCTTTAGGGTCCAGAGGCTTGTACTCGTGGTCTTCCAGCTGCGGGGGTCGGGGGAGGGACGGGACAGCAGTGGAGGTGGGCGCAGGGCCCTAGTGTTTTGGCAAAGCCCACTCTCACCAGGCTCAGCCCAGGCTGGAAAAGGGGCTGTGTCGAGGTTTACCTTCACAAGGGGGGCCATCAGCCCAGCAGGGAGATCGAAGTAGGGCACGTTGGGGACCAGGCTGGGGTCATCGTGGTTGATGTGGGGAGGGCCCTGTCGCCGCATGTGGGGGGGCTGCCCATTGAAGCCGTGGGGAGGAGGGCCGAAGTCCGGGTGCTGGGGCCCCGCCCAGGGCGGGTGCTCGTTGATCCCAGGGTGAGGCATGCGGTGACCAGGGTGGTGGTGTGGGGGCCCCATCTCTGCAGGACAGAAACTCATCTCAGGCCTGTGGGGATGCGGTCATCGCAAAGGTGATCCACCACGGCCGGTGTCCTTAGGAACAAGACCCAGACACGCGTCGAGGGCAGACCACGTGGACACAGGGGAGATGCCATCCACAAGCGCAGGGGAGGCTCAGAGGAGCCAGTCCCCTGCACATGTTGGCCTCAGAGCCACGGACGGTCCACGCAGCCTGGGGGCTTTGTTACAGCAGCCACACAGATATAGCGTGGTCAGGACTGGATTGGCGTGGGGTAGGGAAAAGCGTGAGGACTTCAGATGACTGGCGGCTCCTGCCTGCGGGTGCCCAGCCCTGCTCTCGAGAGCCGCGTGGGACTCCCACCCTACAGCCAGCCTGGCACACGGCAGGAGCCTGAATCGGGGTCCAGGACAGTGAGTGGGCAGGAGGACCTCGGCCACAAGGAAGGCCACATGGAACCCATGCTTCACTCTGCGCTTTGCTCTCACACAGACAGCATGCCAGGAGCACACCACGCTGCTGGGGACCAGGCAGTGACTCCTCCGGCTGTCCCTAGCCCTGGCACTCACCGGCAGGGAAGTCCCCCTGGGGGTAATCAAAGCGGTGGGGATAGGGTGGCCGCTCAAAAGGATGGCGTGGGGGGAAGTCGTCCTGCATGAAGCGGGGTGGGAAGCGGTTGAAGTTGTGGGGATGCGGCGGCTGGTTGAACTGTGGGTGCTGCTGGTGGGGCGGGAAGGGCCCACGGAAATGGGGTGGCCGCTGCATGCGGAAGGGTGGCTCCCGCTGGCCCCCGCCCCATGGCGGCTGCTCGTGCTGGTTGTTCCAGGGTCCCTCGAACTGGCTGTTCCAGTTGGGGTCAGGCTGGTTGTTCCAGGGCGCGTCACGCTGGCCATTCCAGCCGGGGTCCCCACGCTGCTCGCCCCACATGCCCTCGTGACTGTTGTTCCAGGGTGGGCAGTGGGGAGGCCCGCCCTGGTGGTGCGGGTAGGGGGGCTGCTCAGGAGGCTGCAAGGCAAAGCAGAGATGTGAGTGAGCCTCACAGGCAGGACCACACATCCCTCCTCCCGCCCCCATCCTGGAGCACCCTGATGCTCACAGGGACATGTACCCCAGTGGCACCCCTCCCTGGCCCAGGTTTCCTCTCCTGGGATCAGCCTCCACCATCCTTGTCCCAGGTCTGATTCTGGGGGCCCCACCCAAGACAGCAGCTGTGTGTGGCCTGAGGACAGCGGCTCCTGTCTCACTGCTGTGGCCCTGACCACTGAAAGCCAGGATCACAAATTCCAGCTCCTGTTTGGAGTGGTAGCACACATAGGGGACCGATAGGCCCACCTCAGACTCCAGCCAGCGAGCCTGTTGGTTCCCGGCACCAGGCCACTGGGGAGCCCCAGCCCAGTGTCCCAAGGGAAGACAGAAACTGCAGACTTTAAATGTGCCACACACCCCACAGTCCCCCGGCTCAGGTTCTGAGTGTGGATTGTCACATGTGCCACCAGCCCTAGACGGAGCCTTGTTGAGTGGGCCGGCTGACTCTGGGCCACAGAAAGGAGACTGAGCCTCAATGTCAAAGGGCTCCATTTCCCTACCTACGAGTCGGGGTGGGAACCACTCCCCCAGAGGGGCCCAAGTGCAATCTCTCATCCTGAAGCTGAGGGGTGGTCGCTCAGGCTCGAGCCACCTCCCACCACCCTGCTGCCTTCCCATGCCCCACCCTCGGCACTGGGATGTACCCGGTGCCCCTCAAGTACCTGCTGCTGACCCCAAGGGGCAACGGGGTGAGGCTGGTCAAACCACGGCGGTTTGTTAGGCGGGATCTGGTCATGGGGCCCAGGACCGCGGGGCCCCGCAGCGGCGGCGGGATCCGGCACCCCTCCTGCAGTGTCGTACTCTGAAGAGCCGGGCATTTGGATGGGAGGCTTGTTGTCATCTAAACCCAGGTGCAGGAAGTTAGAAATGACAGCAGCACTTGCTTCCACATAAACCCCTGCTTCCTAACCTGACTGCACGCCACAGCCACCACCTTCTTCTGGGGAAGGCACAGAGGGCAGATCGCCCCCACCCCCTGCATCTCTCTTCAGTTCAGCTGGTTTCTAATAAGTCACTCTTGGGTTACGAGTTAAACATCATTTCCCCAACTTCATCATTTTGGTTTGGTTTGTTCAAGGCACTGGGGGAGGAGGCCAGGGCCTCCTCAGACACGCTAAGCGCGCACCCTCCGCTATGCCACACCCTCAGCCCTACCCATTACTTGAGACCAGGCTGGTCCCAAACTCGTGGGCTCAAGCGACCCTCCTTGCCTCAGCCCCCTGGGTAGCGGCTTAGGTTTTCCCCTCGCAGTACTGCGAACTGAACTCAGGGTCTTGCTCCAAGTCCTTTCCCTTTAGTTGGTTTTCAAACCTGACGGTCTCGCGCTTTTGCCTTGGCCACAACCCTCCCACCTCTGCCCCAAGTAGCCGAGGTGACAGGTGTGTGTCACTATGCCTGTCTTTTTCTCCTGTTAAACCCATCCACTTATTCTAGGTACTTGGGAGGCAGAGATCAGGAGGATCGCAGTTCAAAGCCACTGTGGGCAAAATAGTTCGTGAAACCCTTTCTTGATAAAAGCCACCATAAGACAGTGGCTCAAGTGCTAGAGCATCTGCCTAGCAAGTGAGACCCAGAGTTCAAACCCTGGTACCAGCAAAAAAAAAAAAAAAAAAAAAAAAAAACCAGGGACAGATTCAATTCAATATGATGTACTTAAAATAGAGCTCGAACATGACCAGGTGAATTTCAATCTGAAGTTCCTCAGATTTTGGAGCATTTACAGACTTTTGCTTACACTTCTCTAATCTGAAAATGTGAAATCTAAAATTTGTGAGTATCACATTGGCCCTTCGGAGGTTTGAAATTTCAGAACATTTTGCATTTCAGGTTTTGGATTATGGGTGCTCAACCTGCACTTTGGTGGATTTGATTTGATTTTTTGTTTTCTTAAAAAAGAGAAATCTATGTAGCTCAAACTGGCCATGGAACTTGTGATCCTCTGCCTCTACCTCCTGACAGCTGAGATTACAGGCATGCAACATGCCACTCAGCTCAGTTTAGATTTTTTTTGGTGGTACTGGGATTTGAACTCAGGGCCTTGCTCTGGCCAGGCAGATGCTCTACTGCTCGAGGCACTCCCCCACCCCATTTTAGATTTTCCCAGTAGTTCCTGATTCTTCTTCAGAAGCGATTCTACACTACATGTGCACACACACAGTAACACGTTTTTGCAGATGGGGGAATGGACAGAACCAGGGCCTTGTGAGGCTAAGCCCACATTCCAGCACTAAGCTGAAGTGCAGTCCTCAGCTGCAGCTCAGCCCATTCACTACAGGGAAAGCTACCTTGGCATTCTCAAATGACAGAGGCAGCTTCTCCCTTCCTGTTCTCTGGGACAGTGTGCAGGAAAGGAACTGTGAGAGTTTCCCCTGCCAAGTCACCTGCCTGACCTCATGAACGCATTAAAACTGAACCACAGAGAGCCTCCTACCAGGTTGGGTGGTGGGTGGCATGGCCGGGGCTGGCGCCGGGGCTGGGGGTGGGGCAGGTGGCGGTGGCGTGGCTTTGACCTCGGCTTCCATCTGCGGCAGCTGCTGCTGCTGGGCCAGACTGCTGACGAAGTCCTCATGCTGTGTCTTGAGGGTCTGGATTTGCTGCTGGAAGGCCAGCTGCACCGGCTGCACCACTGCTGAGTATTCGTTGATGAGCGTGGCCTGGCAGAGAGAAGAGCCTGCCGTCAGTATGGCCTTGGTGCTGCCCACTCCCACCTTCTGGAACAGGACAGGGACACGCCTGCAAGGCAGCACATCCCATCCTGGGCCCTGGAGTGGGCGGGCAGGTGGTTGGCAAGGAAGCAGGCAGCACAGCCCTTACCACCCCAGGGCCTGTGGGGTCCACCAAAGACACGGTGACGAGGATGGTCACTGCGCAGCAGTTTGTGACTTTGCTAACAGGAACCAGCAACCCTGTGGTCCCAGCTGGGCCCTCCAAGCCTTAGCCATAACAGGCTGGAAGAGGCAGTGCAACAGCACATGGATGGGGCTGGGGTGGCTGAGGGCAGAGCTCTGAGGAGTGGCATGGGTGGGGGTGACTGTCACCTGGTACTGGCCGAGCCCCAGCGCGGGGCTCTGTAGCTGCTGAATGATGGAGTCATCGAAGTAGCCGTTTTTCTCCCAGAGCTGCAGGAGCTGGAGGAGGAGGAGGAAGGGAGAGGTGTCAGGGGAAGTGCGCCTCCCCCAGCCCTGCCCGGCACCCCAAGCCCAGCAGCCCCCGTACCCGCGCAATCTTCTGCTGCTTGTCCTCTTCCACTGCCAGGAAGCTGGTGCAGTAGATGGGCACCACGACCTTCTGCAAGGCGGCCAGCAGCTCCCGGGCCTGCTTGCGCTGGCTGTGAGGGAGAGACCTTCCGCGCGTCAGGGCCCTGGGGCGGGACCCGGCCACGCACCCGTTACCATCGCGGCTCGAGCCACAGCACCCTCTGCCTTCTCAGGAGACGGACCCCCAACCCGGCCAGGGCGCTGGCTGGATCCCCGGGAGACCTGTGTGGGCACTGTGCTTGCTCTTGGGGGATGGACAAGGGAAGAGAACACAGTCCAGGGCTGCTTGGGCATTCACCCCAGTCGCCCTGTCAGTAAAGTAACCCTTCCCACCCGGGGTGGTGGTGAGCGTGAGTCACGGAGCCCACGAGACCCTGTGTATGCACGAAGAATGAAACGGGACTGCTGTGGGGTCAGGACCTTGTCCGCAGTCACCATTATGCACACAGAAAGCTCGGCTCAAGCCAGCATCAAGAGTGCGGACCGTGCCTGGCACGGTGGGGCCTACGGAGCTGCACGGGAACGTTTGCATATGTGGCTCGTGGAAGGCTAAGGGTGTAGCTCAGGACAGCGTTTGCCTGGCATGTGTAAGGCCCTGCCCTCAGCCCCAGGACCTCAGCAAATAAAAACACAACCAGCCCACGAAGACTCCTGCAGACCTAGGCCCTTGGTGTGGCAGCGGCCAGGCCAGGATGGCTCAACTTGTGACCCCAGGAAGGTCATGAACAGTAGGCCAGTGGTTTGAACTGTCCCAAGGCTTAGCTCACCAGGGGAGCTCAAAGAGGGGCCAGGCCAGGCAGGGCGGGGAGCCAGGCCAGAGGAGGGCAGTCCAGGGAGCTGCCCTTGGCCTCTGGACTGGGAAGGCAGAGCTAAACAGCGTCGCTGGAGAAAAGGGAGGGACAGGCCATCTCTGCAGAGGCGTCCTGCAGTCAGAAAGGCAGGAGTAGGGCGCAAGAAGCAGGATGGAGAGAACGGGGTGACGCAGGGAAGGGTGAGAGGAGCTGGAGATGCTTCAGCGGGAGTGGGAGGGCCCGAGCCGGGCTGAGCTCCTGGCAGAACAGGAACATGGGGCAGGCTGAGAGCCAGCGGTGCAGCAGGTCACCAAGCTCACAGGCAGCCAGGCTGGCCGACTACAGGCAGACTCCTTCCCGCCCACCTTGGCCCAGGCTTCGGGTTTCTTTTGTGTCCCTCCACCTAAGTGGCTAGGCGGAAGGACAGGCCCCTCGCTGGGGATGACAGGCAGCAGCATCAAAGAGCCAAGGGCTGTGAGGCAGAGGGCGAGCAAAGGTGCCGCCGTCCCTTGGATGGGTCAAGACTACAGAAGGGCAGAGCAGAGGCAGGTGGCAGGCAGAGGCTGAGCTGCCCGGGGTGGGGGTGAGGCGGGAACATGAGGGGTGCCGGGCAGGGGCTGGCACTCACCAGTGGTGCAGCACATCGTTGATGAGGTAGATGAGGTGCAGCCGCAGCTCGAAGTGCGCTCCGTCCGCTGTGATGCGGTTGCGGAGGTGGCCCGCCATCAGCTCACAGTGCGGTGGGGACTTGGCATTGCTGAACATCCAGTTCTTCCCAGCCTGTGACAGGCAGGCTCAGGTGAGTGGGGCCAGAGCCCACCTCGCAGCCCCACAGCCCCGGGTCCCGCTACAGGGGCGGCCCTCACCGAGATGGCGTCTTTGGTGCACGTGTCAATGATGGGCTGGAGCAGGCTGTCGAACTCATTCATGTCCAGCTGTGTCTCCTCCAGCAGCTTCTGCATCTGTTGCTCCACCGCGTGGGCCACGGCTGCCGTCACCTGCTCCTGGGAGGGTGACAGGGACAGAGATAGGTGAGGAAGGGTGGCAAGGGACAATTACACACAGCCAATCGTATCAAAGGACAGCAGCCTCCCCCCCACCCCCGCCGCAAGGGAAGCCAGGTTCAGACATGACACTGGGAGGACAGAGAGGCCCCAGTGCCCAGCCCACACTGCCTGAGAGCAAGCGGCCCCACATGCTGTGCTGACTGCAACGACACAGCCAACGCTGCATCCTTTTCTTTTTTTTTGGTGGTTCTGGGGTTTGAACTCAGGGCCTCACACTTGCCAGGCACGCACTCTACCACCGGAACCTCACCTCCAGCCCCAACGCTGCATACTAAGTCAAGCAATCAAGCAGGGGCTGGCAGCTTGGGTTTCACATTTTATTCTTCTTGCTTTTCTAGCACCTGTCCTTAACAGTATCTGGAGAAGGTACCAGGCTGCCAGATGGTGGGGCCCAGGCTAGGTCCAGAGGCCATGTGGCCACAAGTGTCCTCCTAGGAGGAGCTCCCTCAGGGCAATGGGCATCCCAAGAGCACATGCAGTGATTTCACAGCAACAAGAAGCGGCCCATGTCCTGGACCAGGGCTGTGGGTGACAGTGGCTGAGCAGCAAGCCCTGGGCAATGAGTGGGCTGGCCCTGTCCCAGTGCACGCATGCAAAACACAGGCCCAGAGCAAGCTCCCTGTAACCCCAAGGATGGTACGCACAGGAGCCAGTACCTGTCGGGAGGCTGAGGACCAGGGGAGGAGAGGGAAGAGGCGGGGAGGGGAGAGGAGGGGCGCACCTGTCGGAGGGCCAGCAGGTGCTGCTCCTGCTGCTGCAGATTCCACTGGCTCTGCTGGATGAGCTCATCCATGGACGGGGCACCCTGGGCTGGCGGGATGGGTGCCGTGGGTGCTGGTGGGGGCTGTGGCAGGGGCGGCAGGGCTGCAGGTGGCTCTAGCTCCGGGGCCTGCTGCTTGCAGAGCACTGCAGGAAAGGAGGAGGTCCTATGAGGACATGGCCAGGCCCAGGCATCCCCTTGGTCATACTAGAGCCTCGACATCTGCCACAGGGCCTCCGTCTAGCCACGCCACCCTGGTTAAGCCAGCACACCCTCTCTCACAGGCTCAGCTCTTTCCAATTCCTGGCCACAGCCTCTGACTTCCATGCTTGGCTTCTCCTTGGAGAACCACCTTGGGACAGCCACCTCACTACACCCCATCAATGCCATTCAAGTCTCTCTTCACTGTCCTGCAAGCGTGAGCCAGGCCTGAGCCCGTCCCTCTTCGCACCTTAGCTAAGCGTGACCTGATATGCCAAACCCCAACCCTTGGTGTCCGAGGCCTCTGCCCCCAACCTCCCCGACTCTTTCAAGACACCAAGGCTCTGGCTGCGTGCCTGTGCTCACGCTTGTAATCCTAGCCTCTTGGGAGACTGAGATCCAGAGGATCATGGTTTGAGGCCAGCCAGGTCAAACAGTTCCTGAGACTCCATTTCTAAAACAACCACAGCAAAATGGACTAGAGCTGGTAGACCACCTGCTGGGCAAGCATGAAGGCCTGAGTTTGAACCCTAGTCATCTGACACCCCACCCCCAAGAAGAGTCTGTGGCTGTGGGCAAGAGGCTGCACTGTAGTTTCCCTTCAGTGGCTCCCAGTCTCCAGCCCTTGGGGAAGGGCCTCTGTGTTCCGGGCCCATCTAGCTCAAGCCACCAACTCCATGGGCAGCCCCCTTTCCACCTCCGCAACTGGCACAGTGAACCACCCATGTGAGAAGAGCTGTGCCCCTTGCTAATGAGCTGCTGTGCACTATCATTAAGCTGGCCTCTAGATCACACTCTCCGATGTCACCTGTGCCACCACTGCAAGGCCTCTCCCCACATCAGGTCCTGCCCCTCTGCCGTCTGCTGCTCAAAGCGTGGCCTTCAGCCAACAGGAAGGCGCGTGAGCATTTGGCACTTCTGCAACAATTCCCCCTTCCGTGGTTCACAATTCCATTGTACTCTGCAACTGACCCAGGATACGGTGGACGGAGATTTCCCAAACCAAACCCCAAACACCGCGGAGTTTCCACAGCACCATTCTAGAACACACCCAGGGCTCAGTCTCAACACACAGGGAGAATAGCAGTGGCCAGCCCTGTTCTAGAACACAGCCCACAGCCTTTCCCCAGCTCTCCAAGGGTTTTCTTCTATCCAGCTCCTTAGCAAATGGTCCTCTCCACGCTCATCCTGGCTGCTGGCTGAGCCCAAATCACTGCTCTGCCGGGCTAGCAGCCAGGGTGCAGGCCCCCTCCGGCCCTTCCCCTGGCCTGCACCGCTTCTCTCCTAGCTAAGTAACGTTCTTTAAACCTACTTGGAGAGCACACCCCTTCCTTTACCTGCCACAGCACCAAACCCTGAGCTGCCCCAACGCCTGACCCCCCAGGGCAGGAAGGAGAGCACGGTCTTCGTGCACGGACCACGCACACTGTGGCACAAGCCAGGGCATCCTCCTCGCCTGCCTCACTATACCACCCTCACCCATCTCCGAATGGTGCCAGGCTCAAGGATTCTAGCCATAACACTACCTTTCCACGTCATGCCTGACCCACCCCTGCCTTAATGCAGACTTCCCCAAGGCTTGTGTGGCAACCACCCCACTCCTCCCTGCCCCCGCCTGCTCTCCACCCTGGCCACACAATACCAGCCTGTACGCAGTGATGTGCTGGGACTAAAGAATGGCCATTCTACAGACACGCAAGCACAGATGATTCCAGGTAGCTCAGCCCTAAACACACACCCAAATAACCTGGGCACCTGCTCTGCACACACCCTCACCCTATGCTCCTGCTCTGCTGGGCCTCGCGTGGTTCCCCTCCCCTTAGCCACCGCTTCTTCAAACCCTAGCACCTCCCTTTTGTTTTCTGGCAGTGGTGGGACATGAACTCAGGGCCTCACACTCGCTAGGCAGGTGCTCTACTACTTGAGCCACACCCCCAGCCCCTTTTGAGTTTTATTTTTGAAACAAGGTCTCATTTTATGCCTCTGATAGACTGGACCACAATTCCCTTTGTACTTTTTTCTCCACGTACCTGGAGTAACAGGGTCGTGTAATCGCGCCCAGCCATTGGTTGAGATGGGGTCTCAAGAACTCTTTGCCCAGGCTGGTCTCCCAAATAGCTAGGATTACAGGTTTGAGCCACTGTGCTTGGTATCTGGGGTCCTACTTGTATGCCTCACAAACTTCACCAACCACTTTCAATGCACTACAAGTTAGGGCACCATAAAAACCCAAACAAGGTCGGTCTGGCCTGAGAGGGCTTGCGGCTCAATCCCCACCTACTTGGCAAACCCCTACTAATCCATTAAAACAACGCACCTAGACGCTGGAGATCTACCACTGGATGTGGCAGATGTGGGTCCTGCCTCAGGACCTTTGCGCCTGATGACGACTCATCCGTTATTCAAAGGCCAGCTGTGCTTCCTAACCCCATCTTAACCTCCCTATACCCAACATCAATAAACGCGTGTGGAGAACTAGAACCCAGAGGGACAAACGAGTCTTTTTTGACCTGGGCACGGGAAATGCACAAAAACCGGCAAAGGGGCCTGGAGACTTCCCGCCCCAGGTCCAAGTCTCTGCCTCCATCACTTCCTGCTTGCAAAACACTGAAGCAGCTCGTGAACTAGCACTGATCTCCGAGATCAAGTCTGCAAAAATCAATAGCGGAGTCCCTGGCGAAGCCCGGGAAGCAGGATCGATAGCCGCCTCCTCCTCCCGCTCCGCCATTGCACGCGGGCCCCGCGAGCTCGGGGGACTCACGCTGCTGCTGCTCCAGCGCTAGCTTGCACTTGTAGTAACTGTAGAACTCGCCCCCGAACAGAAACGAGAATTTCGGGTTGTCCTTCTGCTTCTCCATCGTCATCTTCTCAAACTCGGGCCCGTTGCGAGCCACGAACTGAGCGAGCTTGTCGATGACATTTCGAAGCTCTTGGTCTGGAGAACGGAGAAAAACGGCCACACGGGGAGTCAGCGAAGACTTCCCAAACTCGGGGGCCCTGCCGCCCCGGCCCCCGTCCACCCCGCTGGGGTCCCCTAGGGGTGGACCTCGGAGAGGCCGCGCTCTTGTACGGGTCCCGATAGGGGCCTCACGTACGCCGGGAATGGGGGACCCACGGGAAAGGCCGCGGGCGAAGCCGTGAGGCCGCGCCCCGCCCCCTCCCAGGCCCGGGAACTCGGCAGGCCGGCCTGGGGACCCCGGGGAGACACAAACGGTTTTCCGCTCCCGGTTAGGCCTCACCGTCCGGCGGCAGAGGCATCTCCATGGCTCCGGCCGCGGGGAACGTCCTCCGGCGCCTCACGATCGCCTACCAGCGCCGTCTGCGAAACCCGGCCGGAAGTGGCGCGAGGGAGCCGTTTACGGCGACTCTCGCGGGCCGCTTCCGCCCGCCACTTACGGCCGTCGCTAGGAAACCCCGGAAATGAAGGCAAGGAGGCGGGAGGGAAGAAGTCGCGCGGGACTCCGCGCGCGAGAGGGGTTAGCGAGGCGCACGCGTAGGGGCTCCCTTGCGCATGCGCGGTGGCGACCCCCTGGTTCGCGACGCCGAGAGAAGCGAGGGGAACGGCCCAGGGCGGCAGCACGGTTCGGTGTCGCGGCCGGAGAGATCTGTCTGCTGTAACCCTTGGGCGCAGGGGTCTGAGGCGTTCCTGCCCGACGTACAGGGTCTGTTCCCTTCTGACAGGCGCGTTGGAGTCCAGCGCAGGAGGCGCCAATCCCGAAGTGGAAGCGGGCGACGGGTTCGGCGGAGACGGGAACTGGGTTATTGAGGCTCCGACCGTCCCCGGCTCGGTTCCTTTCTTCCGCTGGACTCGGTAAGGACGACTTGGGGGCGGGGGTGGGATGCGGGGAGCGACCTTTGCTGCCGCCCCTATGGCGTCTTCCTAAGCTGTGCCACGATGGTGGCGCTCACGCTGGCCAGTTGCGGGAAGCGAATGTGGAGCAGCGATGACAGCCCTGGTTGGCCTCGAACTCGCCATCCTCCTTCCTCAGCCTCCCGAGCGCTGGGATGATAGCCATTCTTGGCTTACGAAACCGGCAGCCAGACGGTGGCCACAGCCGCGAACAAGCTGTTCCCTCCTAGATCCCCCATCTCTGGGGGAAGAGATCCACAGCAGTCCACGGTGTCACCATGAAGGTGTCATGAAGGGAAAGAACGTGAGTTCAAAGGGGAACGTGGGGTCTTCATGCCCATAGGGCGTGTCAGTGAAGGTTCTCACCCTTTGCTTTCAGTAAGAGTCTAGGCCAGCCTTGAATTCACCATCTTCCCTGAGTGCTGGGATTAAAGGCGTGCACCACCATGCCCACCTCCGTATATACATCTTAATGGCTAAAGTGATCCTCCTGCCACAGCCTCCCTCATAGGTGCGCCAGCTGCCACAGCCCTCCACCTCCATCCCCAGCACTGTTAGATTCATAGCAGGGTGTTTGAACCAGCTTAGTGAAGCTGTGTATGTTACAGCTTTTAAGGCCACACAGGATTCTGTGGTGTGTGTTTGCTGGTGTACTGGACTGAGGCCTTATGTGTGGCTGCTGTTAAAACTGTCTCAGTGTCCTGCAAGGTAAAGGTCACACACACGCACGCGCATGGTCCTCACTGCTGAGCTTCCCTCGGTTTCATCCATCCATCTCCCACTGGGAAGTGCTGTGCATCTGACACTGGCCGTGTAGGCATCACTGAGCCTCTCCCAGACCAGGCCAGTTAAGTAAAGTGCTCCCCAGGTTGAGATGAGCCTGCTATGCAGAACCCCAGCAATGGACTGAGTGTCCCCGACATCTCGCATGTTGGAAACTCAGTCCCCACAGTTGCGTTGGTGGCATTTGGAGATGGGAACTTTGGGAGGTGATTAGGATGGGTGAGGGTGGGGCCCCATGTGCAACCTGTGGCTGTAAAGGTGGGAGAGGCCAGAGCTCCTTGCACTTGCCCTATTTCTATGTGCGATGGCCCTGTGAACCCCCCCTCCCCCCGTCACAGTGCCAGCTGGAAGGCCCTGGCCAGGTGCCAGTGCCATGTGCTCAGACTCCCAGTTTCCAGAACGGAGCCAAATCAACTATTGTTTATGAAGTACCTGTGCTCCATCACTTTGTTACAGTAACAAAAAACAGGAAGACAAAAACTTAAGCAAAATGGGAAGTTTGAAAGCACATACACACGTGCTTTGAGGACAGACCACTTCCCCCACAGGATGGTTAACCGCCACATCCAGAGCAGGGCAGGCTCCTTGCAGCACGTCCCTCCCTCTGTGGAATGCCCCTGCCACGTACAGCCAGCCACAGGGAAGAGGTTGGCATAGAACTTCTTTCCTCCAAAGAGCCGACTACAAAACAATGGATGCCAGTTTGAAGGTTTTTTTTTTTTTTTTTTTGTGGTACTGGGATTTGAACTCAGGGCCTTCACCTTGAGCCCCTCCACTAGCCCTTTTTGTGATGGATAGTTTCGAGATAGGGTCTCATGAGCTATTTGCCCAGACCGCCTTCAAACCAGGATCCTCCTGATCAGCTAGGATTACAGGCATGAGCCACCTGCACCTGGCTGATTTGTTTTTTAAAGAGAATGTGTGTGTCACCTTCCCTGAGGCAGCTGCGTGTCAGTTCTGATGGGTTCTCCAGAGATAAGCTGTGTGTTCACTTACTGCTACGGCCTGGAAATTGTGATTGTGTCCTCAGTACTTGGATCGTTTAAAGATACTCTTTTATCTTTAACAAGTTTTTCAAACATAAAAAAGCACGGACAATACTTAAAGATGCCATGGCTGGCTGAGGAGACTGACCCCTGTGGACCAGAGGCCTCAGTGTGGCCCCAGTGTGAACCGCATGCTATCAGCATGCTGGAGCCATACAGTGGTCTGGGGACTGCCACGGTCCTGTCCTGTCCCAGGAAGAGGCTGGGTCTAGGGGCAGTGGAGAGGGCCTCCGTCCTGCAACAAGTAGGATTCCTGGGCTCCAACTATGACTTCAGGTCACCAACAGACTCCTGGTCACTAAGGGGGCGCCTCAGGGAGGCAAGGCAGAGGACATTCCTGAGCTTGTCCCAGCGGAACTTGGACTTTGGTGTCTAGCTGGAGTCTCCACAGGGTCACCACTAGGCCTGACCCTGCAGGCCTCTGGCATCGTCCACACAGGCTTCAGGGTTTACCTAGCAGTGATGTTAGTCCGCATACCATCCAGACAGACTCCCGGGGTCCGTGTCAGTCGCACGGGCCTAGCATGATGTTCTGTGTAATGGGCTGACAGCTGTCTGCTGGGTCCTGACCCGCTGTGACTGTAACTACAAATCAAATAAAACACCCCCCCTGCCCTCAGTGGTTGGCCTGGACTTTGCTCGTGTGTGTCTTTTCTGTACGTCCAACAGCGCCTGTCTCCGAAGTCACCCGTCCATAAGTTAAGCTGGGTGGCCTTTCTGGGTAGGCTCACATGTCCATCGCTGTTACTTGGCACAAACGAATCGTTCAGTAAATCACTGAAAACAGGATTACAAGCTAAATAGAAAGATGTGGGCAGTAGTGTTAGCAGGAACCTCATCCGTCCTCCACCATCTGGAGGACACTCGCTGGTGGGGACGACTCTGTGATTCCAGGCAAGTAGAGGGACCTGATGCCCTGGGGCCCAAGTTGTCACCTGGAAAATGAGGTGACTAAAACAATGCGGGGCTGGGGCATCACAAAACTAGAACCAAAACAGTAAGGGGGAGCCTAAGAGGACTGAGGCGCCCACCACCACACCGTCATGGTGCTCAGTGCCAGCTGCTGTCCCTCCACCCAGTGCTTCCTGAGTGCAGCTGCCACGGCGGACCTGGATCTCTGTCACTGCTAAGTAAAGACTTGCCATTCGCCTTAGCTGTAATTCTGGTTTTATCACACGACCCCCAGATCGCAGATTCCACAGATCAAGGCCTAATTTTCAGCTCAGAAGGAAAAGAAAAAAATGGGGGCGGGGTGTGATGGCCAGGCGTGGGAACGGAGGTGCTTTGTGACTTCCTCCCTGTTGGGCCTCATTACTGGGCACGGTGAAGACAGGCCCACTGATAAAGAGACCCCGATGACAAACCGGGAGCAGTCTCAGTCCCCTGGAGACACCGTTTATTTTTGGTAAGTGCCAGCCATCACAGTGACTCTACAGGACGGTCTACAGCACGGAAGTCTCAGGAACACGAAGGTACGGTTCTTAGGTCCTATGACAACTTAGTTCTAGCTCCTAAAGGTTGCAAGACCTTAAGGTGTTCGGGTCTGTATGTCCCAGGTAACAACATGTCGCCTGCTGTAGACCACATACACAGCAAATTCTGGGAGTCCGAACTCTAACTCACTGAACTTGTCTCCAGGGAGGGTCTGATTCCCCCTGTAACGAGTGACCTAAAAAGAGCCGTCTAAGAACCCACACCAAGTCACACTCGTGAACCTGGAGGCCTGAGGGCCTCCGTGTCCGTAAAGCAAAGGAGGCGGGCAAGGCCAAGTGCTGCCGGTCACACCCAACGGGGGCTGGGAGCCTTGGGGGCATGGGTGGCCAATGTCCACCGTGACCCTGAGTCTTGTTCTGATGTGATCGTCACAGTCGTTCCACTGCACATACTTGCTGTAAGTTTATGTACAGAATTAAATATCCCATTTATTCATTTAGAAACCGTAGAAACCCAAGCTGGTCATCCCCTCACCAGCAGGTCTTGTGTGGAAAAGGAAAACACATCAATATACAGATTTCAGCAACAGCAGAAACTTCATGAAACCCAAGCAGAGGCCCAGTGCTGCTTGGGGCTCAATGACAGGGTCACCATCGTCACGACTACCATTAATACCTTCTCAGTGTGGCTCTGCCGGTTCTTGTCACTCGACAGACACCATGCCTTCAGGGAAGGCCAGCCAGGATCCCTGCACACGACAATCGTCTCAAAACCTGGGCCAAAGTATTTATAAAGCAAGCAAACGAGACGGACAAGCAGACCCTCCCGAGGCTGGAGTGCGTCAGCTCTCAGACAAGCAGGAAAAGAAGCTGACAAACTCAGCCTCCCAAAATACAAAATCCCAATTACCAAAACGCACAGAGCGCCCGGCCACACCAGGAGTCAGCGCAAGCTGCGTCACTTCCTCTCCGAACGGGGGAATGTCGTGCTCGCCAGGAGACGAGGGGCAGATGGCTGCTCCATCTGATTCACTGTCCCCAGTTCAGCCAGAAGCTGGGAACAGGAAGGAGGGCAAGTACCCCAAAGACCCCACAAGTCAAAGCCAGTGGTCCCTCCAAGAGGGCACGGTCCTTCATGGTGCCAGGGGTGAGCTGCCACTCAGACCTCAGCACCCTGGGTCCTGCAGGTTTCCTACTGTGATTCTCCCAAGATGCAAACTTGTCTTTTCTTTTTAGAGACAGGGTCCTGCTGTGTGGCCCACGCTGGCCTGGAACTCCTGGGCTCAACGATCCTCGTGGCTCGGCCTCCCAAGCAGCTGGGACTGTAGGCGTGTGCCAGCGTGCTGGGTTCCCAAACTTCCTCTTGGCCTAAGAGTCTGATTGTGCAAACCAGATTCCAGCTTGAGGCTCGTCCCTTCTCCGTTACCCAGGACGTGATCAGATCCCGAAGTGAACGCAGCACAGAAACGGATGCAAAGCACTGTGGCCTGGTTGATTACACAGGACACTGTGGTGCCTGGCATCCGCTCCATCTTCGGCGACTGTGGTCACCGAGGACAGGCTTCGCGACACTTCATCGCTCCCCGCTTATTGCCAAAATACAGCAGGCAGCCGCCTCCAGTAGAACTTTTTCCTTTTTTAAACACAGAAACAAAATGGTTTCCAGTCCATAAACCAGTCCTGCTGTGTCCCTCCATGAGGACCAAGGCATAAAATCACGCACAACTACAAAACGTCCCCTAGAAAAACACAAGACCCTTGTCAAATCAGTGCGTCCCCCGTACAGCCTTCCACACCACTCAGGCACGACCGTGACTCCCGAGACCCCGCACCCAAAAGGGGACACGGTGGCTATGGCTGGGGGAGCAGCGCAGAGGACAGAGACAGTAATTTCCCTTCCCACCGGACACTGGTGGATGCCACGGGCAGAGGCTCTGGGTGACAAGGCTAACTGCAGAACTTCCACCTGGCCACGACTGCCAGGAGTTAGCAGCGGTCCTGGGTCCCCAGGCCCCTTGCCCGTGTGACACTGTGTCAGCCCTATGCAAGTCTGAGCAGTGGAATTCAAGTAGCTAGTCTCATCCCGTCCTGACGTCCCCGGATGTCACCTCTTACCAGCTCCCAGGTCTGTAGCCACAGTGATTCCACTTCTCCTGAGAGGGTCCTCCGTGTCACCCAGAAAACCAAACAAGAACTCTGACACACAAACGTAAAGCCTGGCCCAGAGCTCCCCAGGATCCAGGCTCTGTGACGACAGACTTCAGGAAGGAGAGCAGGCGACATGGTCTCCTCAGCTGTCCCTCTGCCCAGAGCCTGTGGCATCCAAGGTGCTGCAGTCACATCCTGCCGCCCACGGGGGCCGGGATCCTCGGCCCTGCGATGGCCACTCACGCCCCTCCTCGCCGGTGGCCGGGTGTCTGTGATCGTGCCGGGCGTGGGGAAGCAGCGCAGCGCCTGTGGCCTCTACACGTCGTAGCGGTTCAGGGCGTATGAGTTCGGCTGGCTCTGGCGGCTGTACTGAAAGTGATCCGTCAGGACGCTGCTGCGGCCATACTGATAGTCACCATGCTGGGGGAAGAGGATGCCGTTGTGGGGCTTCTCCAGCGGGCTCCGCAGATGCTCCTTGCTGCCCAGGTCAGCCGTGGAGACGGGGAGGAGGTGTCTCCGGGTTTGCTGGTTTGCATCATATTTGGTCTGTACAGGAAAGAGAGCAATGAAAAGTCCAGCTCAATCGCCAGGACAAACCTGGAGGGCAACGGGGAGCTCACAATCCTAAGCCTAGAGAGGACCCTGCTCGGAGCTGCTTGGGAGGCGCAGATCAGGAGAATCATGGTTCGAGCCCAGCCCAGTCAAAAAGTTGGTGAGACCCCATCTCAACCAAACAAGCTGGGCATGGTGGTACACATGTAATCTCAGCTACAAGGGAAGTGTAGGTAGAATGACTGCAGTCTGAGGCTCTGAGTAAAAGGTTAGCAAGACCCTATCTGAAAAATAAATCAAAAACAGGACTGGGGGTGAGACTCAAGTGGTAGAGCGCCTGCCTAGCAAGCACAAGGCCCTGAGTTCAAACCCCAGTGCTGCAAAGCAGATTGGCCTTTGGGGCCAAGGCAAGGCTTGACCCGTGTGGAGCTCATGCGCGGCCTACACGCAGCTTGTGGACCCGACTAGAAGGCAAGGCCTCCCCCACACTGGACAGGAGGCTACAGAGACCGAGAGCCCCAGGCGGGCATCCCCAGGGCCCGTGGCACCGCCGCCTCCCACCTTGTTGTAGAGGAAGACGCCCAGGATGGCCGTCATCATGCCCAGGACGTTGGTGCTGGTGACCGGGTTGCGCAGCATGATGAGGGACACCGTGATGACCATGATTCTCTTGGTGGCATTGGCGACAGAGTAGCTCAGGGGGCTGATGAGGTTGAGGATGCTGAAGGCGATGACGTTCTGGGCGAAGTTGCAGAAGCCGCTGACAGCCAGAAGCAGGAGCGTCCAGGGCCACTGGGACACGTACGTCTGTGGTGACAGGGAGCAAGCGCAGCCGTCAGTGTCCCCTCCCCATCCATCTGGCGGGGAGGTCCATCCGGGCTCCAGGCAGGCAACCCAGGCCATCGCGTGAGCGAGGTGCTTGCTGTGCGTGACCTCTGACCTCCTGATGCTCTGCACGGCACAGCAGTCACCCCACCTAAGCTGAAGAAGTGAGGCCAGGTGCTGGAAGGGTACAGAGCCACACTTGAACCCAAGCCTGCCCTTGTCCCTAGACGGGAGTGGCTACGAGCTCTGACGTTAACTAGAAGGGACTGCTTGTTGGAGCCCTGCATTCTGCAGGAAGGTCCCGGAAAGCGGCCGTGAGTGTGCAAAGAACCCCTAATAGGAGCGATGGTCTGCCCCACGGCTGTGGGCCTCTGGGTGAACCACTTGACCTCTCTGGTCTCAATTTCTTTATCTTGCAGTACTGGAGTTTGAACCCTGGGCCACCCTCATGCTAGGCAAGCACTCTACAACTTGAGCCACATCCCCAGCTCCCAAACCCCCTTAAATAAATTCTGTTTCTGAGACAGGGTCTCACTGCCTTTGCCTGGGCTGGCCTCAAACTTGTGATCCTCCTCCTGCCTTTTCCAGTCGCTGGATCACAGGTGTGTGCACACACCACTGTCACTGTGAGGACGCAACAGGATCGTGGCTTCGAAAATGCCATACGATAGTCTCGGGGCCAGAGATGCAGTGCAGCTTGTGCTCAGTGTGTGCTGACTGCCTACCCACAGCAAAAACCCCAAACAAGGCCAAGCTGGGGACAGTGGTGCACGCCTGTAATCCCAGCACTCCAGGGGTGGAGGCAGGAGGATCCCAATTTTGAAGCCGGCCTAGTTCACATGAGTTCCAGGACATCCTGGATACGTAGTGAGACCCAGTCTCAAAAAGCCAAAATCCAAACTAAACTCCAAAAACATCTGAGGCCAAACAAAAACTTCAGTCCAGGCCTGGTGAAGTGGCTCAAATGGTAGAGCACCTGCCAAGCAAGTGTGAGTCCCCAAGTTCAAACCCCAGCACTGCAAAAACAAAACAAAACTTCAGTCAACCATTCTGACCCTCCATGGCATGAGGCCACACTGACCAAGACTTTCAGAAGTGCAGAGACCATGATACCTTCCCCTCTGCCCCCAATACCTGGGCTCATCCCAGGACAGGAGACAGGTGAGAGCCTGGGAGGCCACCGATGGCCAGTGGGTGGGGAGGCCGGCACTGAACATCTGCAGATATCTATCCAGGGTGGGTGGTCAGTACACCCTTAGTACCTACCCTCCAGGTCTAAGTCTGCCCACCCAGCTCTCAATAAAAGTAAACCACAGCCAGCCCTAGTGGTTCACGCCTGTAATCCTAGCGACTTGGGAGGATGAGATTGGGAGGATCATGGTTTGAGGACAAGCCTGGGTAAACAGTTGGAGAGCCACTGCCCACCCCCAACTCCAAAATAACCAGAGCAAAATGGACTGCCTTGCAAGCACAAAGCCCTGAGTTCAAGCCCCAGTCCCACCCCCCAAAAAAGGACATGTAGCTGGGCATGGTGGCTCACACCTATGATCCCAGATACTCGGAGGGTGGAGATAGCAAGATCACAGTAGGAGGCCAGCCCAGGCAAAGTTAGCACGACAGCCCAACTGAAAACCAAACTGAAAGGAAAAGGCTGGGGTGGGCCTCAAGGGGTAGACAGCCTGCCTAGCAAGCACATGTCCCTGAGTTCAAAGCCCAGCACTATAAAAAAATAGACACGGAACAACAGACTGCTCCATTTTCCTTCCTCACAGTGGAATTGCATGCGTTTTAACACGGACATCGAGTCAGACAACCACCAGAGCAGCTCCGTCCTGACAAAACACCGGCCCAAGCCTCTCCTTCATCCTCACGCTGCGTCCTTGAACCCAGCAACCCGATGCGCTCTCCAGCATGGCTGCGGTACAGTAAGTGGGCTCACGCAGCATCCACGCAGCACGGTACCCGCCATTCATCCAAGTTGTGACACAAGAGTCAGCACCTCTTAACTGCCTGATAATATTCCACGCGTGAATGTCTGAATGTGCTTTCTAGTTTTTAGTGACCGTGAGTAGAGTTCCTACGAGCATTCATGTATCGGCTGTTTGGCTTTTTTATACAGGGTCTCGCTGTGTAGCCTAGGCTGGCTTCAAACAAGCAACTCTCCTGTCTTAGCCCCCCAAGTGCTGGGATTACAGGTGTGCACCACTGTGTACAGCAGACATGATTTCTTCATGAATATTTTTTCAGCGCCACACTTCTTCCTCTTTGGGGACTCTGGTGACACAAATACAGGGCCATTTGGCATCCCTAAGGATCTGTTTATTGTCTTTGAATCTTTTTTCTCTCTACTGCTCAAACTGGATAACTTCCATTGATCTATGTTCGATCTTGCCTCTGTTCTGTCCTTCCACCCGCCGTTGGGAACTTGGTCTCCACTGTAATGTCTTCGGTATGACTGTCGAATCAATGTTCCAATGACTTGTTGAAGCACGACATAAGCACTGCTTTAACATGCGACACTCCAACGCCTCTGTGGCTTAGTGTAGGCCTCTGTTCATTGCTTTTGCCCACATGGCCTGGGATCTTCCTCCTAGCTGAGGGGTCAGAGAATGCAGACACCCAGTGTGCCATGGGACTCCTAGAAAGAGTGTGGCCGGCTCTGGCGACGAGCTGGCAGCTCCTGGGGTTTGTGGTTCCCCTGTTGTTTTGCTGCAGAGCCTCTTCAGGGCATTGGGCTCTGTCCTGACTGCTCACTCCGCAGTGGTTAGTGTGGCCCCTGGGTGGAGGTCCATCCGTGGCTGTGTTTTCAAAGTCTTGGGGATGCTGTGAGGATAAGGTTCTTTCGGGTGCCACACGGTGTAAGTCTCACAACTGCATTAGTAATCTTAAGAAGTCACTTTCCCAAGATGCACTTCTCCAAATCTCCTAGGGCCTTGCCAGTTTCCTAGGGCCCCCTTTTCAATCCTGTGCTTAGAAAGCTGGGTTTCACTACCAGACTCCGATGGATATTTTCTATGGCTACATTCCCATTTCGGGGCAGTAGGAGTCAACTTTCTGTCACTGTGAGAAAATACCTGAGGGCAATTAACTAAGAAAAAAAAAGGTTTCTTTTTTTTTGGTTGTACTGAGTTTTGAACTCAGAGCCTTGTGCTTGCCAGGCAGCACTCTACCATTCAGCCACGCCCCCAGCCCATTCTGGCCTTAGTTGCCTTGGATACTGATTCTCCACATCCTGTGCCTCTGAAGCTGGGATTATAGGTACATGCTGGCTTGTTTTTTGAGATAGGGTCAAACTAACTCTTTTTGCACAGGCTGGCCTCAAACCACAATCCTTGCCAGGTGCCAGTGGCTCATGCCTGTAATCTAGGCTAGTCAGGAGGCAGAGATGAGGAGGATTGTGGCACGAAGCCAGCCCAGGCAAATGTTTGAAAGACCCTATCTCGACAAAACCCATCACAGAAAAGGGCCACCTCATAAGCCAGGAAGCAGAGCCACACAGGAAGAACACCCCCAATGACGTCAAATCCTCCCAATAGGCCCCCTCTGTTTTGGTGGCACTGGGGTTTGAACTCAGTGCCTTGTGCTTGCTAGGCAGGCACTCTTCCCTTGAGCCATTCCACCAGCCCAAGTCCCCTCCTAAAGTCCGCCCCCAGCCAATAGCGCCACGCTGGGGCCCACGCCATGCTGGAGCCCACGCAATGCTGGAGCCTCTGGGGGAACTTCAACGTCCAGATTCCAGCAGCAGGCGGTTAGTGACGGCAGAAAAGAGAAAGGCGTGCGCTGGGAGCTAGCTCCCGCCCTCACTGCTTCCACACTTTTGGAATTTGGACTGTTTGGGATTTTGGGTTTTCAGATGAGGTGCGATCGCTCACTCCAAAGCCCAGTGCCCTGCTGTGAAGCATTCTGAGTGGGGATGCTCAGCCTGGATGTCCCAGATGCACGCAAGATGGCGCACGCCCACACACCCGGCTCCTCAGAAGAGCCCAGGGCTTTGGGCCACATAGGAGATCCTTAAAAAACAGTCCCCGAGACCTGAGCAGATGGCCAGGGTGGGAGACAGCCCTGTGCTGGGGAGGGAGATGCAAATGGAGCTCACTTCCTAAGGTGCACGATGGGGGCCAGAGCACACAGCTGCATGCTAAAAGGGCAGGCTGGCACACGTGGTGATGGTTTGGACGTCGTCCCCCAAAGGAGCACATTTGAGGCTTGGTTCAGTGTGGCGGTATCAAGGTCATGGGGTCTTTAAGAGGTGGGGCCCAGTGGGAGAGCCTTGGGTCAGCTGCAGGCCACTCCCAGAAGAGATCTGCTGTGGTTTGGGTAGGTAGCTCCCAAAGGCCCCAGCCTGTGGTGCTCCTGGGAAGTGGTGGAACCTTTAGGAGGCAGGGCCTAGTGGGAGGAAGTTAGGCCATTGGGGGCGTGCCCTTGAAGGGGCGACAAGGACCCCTCCCTTCCTGTCTTCCTCTTTGCTTCCCTGTTGCCATGAGGTGAACAGGCCTCCTGTGCCACATGATCCCATCATTCAAAACTGTCCCACAGGCTCAGTGACAGGGCCAGGCAACCAACCATGGACTGAAACCTCCAAAACTATGAGCCAAAGCAAACCTTTGTTCTGTGTAAGTTGATTGTCTCAAGTATTTTGTCACAGTAACTGAGAGCTGGCTAACACAGGACTGTAGGACTCCAGCCCTTCTGGTGTCTGTTTTGAGCTGTGATTTCTTCCTCCCACACATGCTATTGCTGTTGTCACCCACAGTGATGTGACACAGTCAGTAGGTCCCTTGCTAGAGCCTGTGCCACGTTTGGGCTTTCAGCCTCCAAAGCTGTGAGCTAAGTCAGCCTCTTCCCTTTATAACGTCAACCTGCCTCAGGTGTCTCATTACAGTAACGGAAAACAGACTAATACAGATGTCAGAGAACGTGCCAAAGAGAAGAAACAGCCACAGCTTCCCCCCAAAGCACCCATCTAGGAGCTAACCAAGAGACGGGCGAGTCCTCAGAGTTGGCAACTCACCAAGTCGCTGCTGACCAGGAAGGCCGAGAGGTCCACCAGAACCCACGTGGGGATCATGAAGAAGACGGCGTGACAGCCCAGGATGTTCAGCAGCCGCAGGTGGTGGATCCGAGAGTCTCTCAACACCTGAGGAGACAAAGCTCCTTTAAAGGCTGGCTGGCGCTGCCGGTCCCCAGGCCCCAAATGCCATGACGGGTGGTAACGCTAATGCTCGGCCTCAGACCTCAAACCTGCTAGTGCGTTTGTGACAGTATACAGCCCATGTCCCAAACAAGCACTGTTCCACGGGTAAAGGACCAAGGAAAGAAAGCAGCACGGCTCCTCCCTGGGCTCAGTCCCCACCGGCAGCGGGCAGAGCAAAGGCCGGACATCTCAGGCCCCAACCCAAGAGCCATCGGTCTAGCTAGCACAGGGAAAAGCCCCAGGAGCCAGAGGCACGTGGTGCATGCTGGCCAGCCCTGCAGTGACAGGAACGTGGGAAGAACCTGTATTTCCACAGAGACTGACCACGTCAACGTGGTGCCTGAGACGAGTGTGACCACGGGCTAAGAGCAGTAATTTTTACTTATTTATATTTTGGTTGTACTGGGACTTGAACTCAGGGCTTCGCACTTGCCCGGCAGGCAGGCGCTCTACCCTTTGAGCCCCAGCCCCAGGTCAAGAGCAGTAATTTTTACCCATCCAGGAAGATGCTGTTCTGTGACAGCAAATGCACAGAGGCAATTACAAAACCGCAGGAAGCACCAGGTTAACAGTGCCCGTCTTCCCAGAGGCTGGGGACGGAGCTCGGAGGCAGGGCGCTGGCTTCTGCCCCGCACGCAAACACTGAAAAACACGGCAGCAGCACTCTTTAGGGGCCACACAGTGGAGGCCTGTGGGCAAATGGCAGGGTTGTGGGACCTTCACCCTCAGTGGCCCCTCGGCGCCCCGCCCTGAAACTGACTTGGCACTGCGTATCCGCGCTGAGTTCCTAACAGAAAGCACGAGTGACGGACGAAATGCCAGAAGATCAGCATGAAGAAGGGGAGCACGGATTCTTCCACTGCACCCCAAAGAACCCGCCACTCGGCCATTTTCCCAAAGCCATGCCCACCCCGCTCCCTGGAGCTTGCCCCCGGCCCCCGGCCCTGCCGGGTCACCTTCTTGGAGAAGATGTTCTGCAGTGAGAAGCAGAGCGTGGCCGCGAGGGCGCTGACGAGACCCCACATGTCGAACGACAGCTCGGTGACGGTGGCCAGTAGGACGCCACTGATGATGGGGATGAGGGACAGGTACACCTGCGGGAGGCAGAGAGGTGACAAGCCAGCTGGGGCCAGGGGAAAGCCTCAGCTGCCCCTGGTCACTCATCTAAGGGACCGCAACTATTTTGGAAAATGCTGCGTGCTGTGACAGGAAGCGCTGGGGGTGGCGCTGGCAGATGGGGCACCTGGGCGGGGCTCACGTCCTGTGGGCAGGGCTTCCAACTCCGACCCTAAATGGCCCCAGCTGCCCCTCTGTGCCATTCTTCCCTGGTGGCCTCGGGCCACCCACGTGCACAAGGAGAGCATGCCGAGCCACCTCCGCCCGGAAGCGTGTGCACTGCGTTCCCGGTTGAGCGCTGTCCGCCCACGCTGCCCACTGAGTCATCCGGTGCCGTTAGCCAGGCCCAGCCCTCGGGCAGCGCTGCTTGCTGCTCGCCCGGGTGCCGGCTGAGGCAGTGAGCAGCCGACAGAGGCGGAATGCTGCTGCTTAGTGGTCCCCAACTTCCAGGATCCACTGGGATCTACTCGCTGTCCAGCTGTCCTGGCTCATCCCTGAGCGCCGAACACACTCTTCAGGCAGAGATGAAGCTGGTGGGGCACGCGTGCGATCCCAGCGCTCAGGAGGCTGAGGTGAGAGGATCGTGTCCCACGCCAGCAACACCCCGTCTCAAAAGCCAAAAAGGACCAGATGGCGATTTCAGACTGGGTGGTGATGTCCCCAGAAGGGCAGACCAAGGGTTGCTGTCTGAGAGACCTGAATTCCAGTCCCTATACTCCTCTGTGGCCCTCTGGTATGTGACTGTTCCCTCTGAAGTCCCATTTCTTCCCCTGAGATGAGGAGTGACGGTGACCTGCCTTATCTGCTTTGCAGGGTGAGTCCCTGAGGAGCTGTTACGCCATCATCATTAGTGTCATTAGTGGGACTGCCCAAGTCGGAACCTGACAATCCCCAGGTTCCAGCTCCTTGCCCAAGCCAGGCACAATGTCCCGGGTGACAGGGAAACCTGATAAACACGATGTGCTATCACACCTGCACACCCTGCGGGGCAACTCTGATCCCCAGAGGGCCGGCCACACCTAATGTCACTGCGGGGAGGGCCCGCAGAGCACACGGCAGGTTTTGCTGGGATGCAGCCAGGCTGGGATAAAAGAGCGAGCCAGAGGTGACCCCGTTTCCATAAGCCGATCCGGGGCACGGCTGCTCTGAGTTACATAAACACACGATGCCGCAAACAGGCACTTGGAGAAGCCGCGCCGTGGCCAGGAGGAAATGGATCCCCGCTGGGACAGCAGGAGTCCCTAAAGCCAAGACTGGAAGCACCCTGGCTCGGCACCTTCCCTGCCACTTGCCCTTCCCTCCAGGGTGATCCCAACTCTGCTGTTCTCATTTCTAAGACTGCTGCATGTGGCCACATGAGACGCCTGTGCCTAGCATCTGGCACAGAACTGAAACCTGTCAGAGTTCCCTTCCATTTCCTGGTCCCGCTGAAGGTGGCACCAAGCTGTCATCTACCAGCAACCCCAGGGAGGGAATCAAAACAGGGGGATGGCTGGACCCCAGAGGGCCTGGAGCCCCTGAAGCCACCCTGCTGATGACGGGGGACACCACCCAGCACATCAGGGCTGACTTCCTTATTTGACAGGAAGCGGGTGGCCTGCGTTCCAGGATGCTGACCACGTCACTAGCAGGACGGCACTCGCCCAGGGCCCCTGCCCGGGGTTACCTTGGTGCTCTGCTTCTCCTTCATGATGATCCGGGACAGCAGGACCACCCAGATGGGCATGGTGGCCTTGACTGCAAAGAGAGGGAAGCCACTCAGGGGCTGCGGCGGCTGCTCGCCCCAGCGGGCGGTGCAGGGTTTGGCGTGGCAGCCTCAGACCTCCTCCCCACCGACAGCTCTGCTCAACCCCTTTCTTCTTTTGGAGTCCGGTGCGGGTCCCTCCCCTGCAAAAGCCTTGATGGCCTCCCTGTCCCGGCGGGCCAGCCGCTGAGATGCCCCGCTGGCTAGCGCAGTCCTAACCACGCACCGAAGCCCCAGGCGGGGAGACCCGGCCACCACTCCCCCCTCCCCTCCCCCCTGCGGGACGCGGCACCCACCGGTGTGCGCGTAGGACACGGGCACCTTCCAGATGCTGACGTGCGCCGACACGGACGCGAAGTACTTGCCGAAGGCGAGCGGCAGCACGTAGCGCGGGTAAAAGCGCGGCGGCAGCAGCGGGCCGGACGACGGATGCGGGCCGGGCCCGGGGCCCGACACGGGCGGCGCGGGGGGCACACGCCAGGCGCGCAGCAGCGGAGGGAGCCCGGCGCACAGCGCCAGGATGTGGCACAGCGACACGGTCACGGGGAACGGGAAGGCGCTCAGGATCACCTTATTGACCACGTTGCCGCCCGCGCTCAGCGCGTACCACAGCAGGCACAGCGCTGCCACCCGCGCGCCCTCGCGCGCCCCGCCGCCACCCCCCGCCGCGCCCGGGCCCCCCGCGCCTGCACCGGACCCCACGGCCGCCGCCGCCGCCGCCGCCATCCTGCCCGAGCGGCCGCCCCTTCCCGCCCGTCCGACGGCCCGACGCCGGGCGGGGGCGGGGCTGAGCGGAGGCGGGCGTGCCGGCCGACGCCGCTCCCCATTGGCTGCCGCCGTTGCACGTCACCGCCGCGCGCCGACAGACGCGCCAGACACCACGTCCCGACTGCAGACCCCGCCCTCCCTCGGATGCGTTTCCGGTGGGGGCGGGGCCGATCCCGGAAGCGAAGTGAAGGGAGCGAAGCCGGGCTGGCTCTCGCGCTGAGCTGTCCCGGGAACCCGGGGCCGGACGGGCGAGAGGGAGCGCGAGGGTCTTGCCGTGTCGGGTCGAGCCTCGGGGTCTCGAGTCATCGGCGCTCCCCAACCGGATCCCTAGTGGGCTAAGCGGCGACGGTCACCGAAGGACGAAAGGCGTTGGGGGAAGAAACGGGGCTGTGAGGAGGTCTCCTGGGGCCGGTTAGGACTGCGCAGCGGGGCGGACGCCGTGACCGGGCTCCCGCACGAGGGCCAGCCCCGCGCGCCCGGCCCCCGGAGCGACGCCGTGGGTACGGGCTGCCACCCCACCTCACCGGCCGCCACCGCGACGCCACGGCTTTCCAGCATCGTGCTCCTGCGCTGCACGCACTGCGGCCTGTCCAACATTCGTGTGCTCCAAGCCCCTGTGGGAGGACAGGTGTTAAAACCCCTTGCTTGTTCAGATTATAACGGGGCCTCAAACATCGGGGACCGTAGCTTTTCCTTTGCTCTCAAAGACAGCCACATGTGTGGGGCCCACGGGACGTTCACGCGTGTGGTGGTCCCTGCAGATGGGACGGGAGGGGTCTGAGGAGGGAGATGCGGACGGGACATCCCCACACCCATGTCCTCCGGCGGTGCCCGGGAACCCTTGTCACTGGCCCGGTGAGAACGCGGGCAGTGGAGGCGCGAAGGTAGCCCGCGACAGCACCGCCGAGTGCACACGATCCGGTGACATGCTTTTGCTATCTTTCCAATTTTTGTCCGCGGTCTTCCACCCCCAAGTGGGAACATGTGCACGGGACACAGGCCCAGACACACGCACAGAGCTGGCGGATGACAGGCCCGGGGATCGATCGCACACCGTCCCCCACTCCCGTTTTCTCTGGGCCGAGTGGGGAGGGCTGTGTGTCCTGCACCAAACCTTCGACACACATCACAGATAGCTGATACTGTGGCCCTGCAGGCCAGGAGTGTTCCACTACCCCCTGGTTTTCCGAGTCTAAGACATGCCCCTCTGAAGGGGTGACTTTCACTTACTCCCAGCAAGCCAAAGCCTCGGGTGACGGTGTCAGGAAAGGGGGGGGGGGAACTGAAGACCTATCACTTTATAATCAGGGGAGAGAAGTTCTTTTTAAAATCCAGCACCAACCAGGTACTAAGGCCACCTCAGGCCTGCACAGGGAGCGCATGGGCTGGAGCTCGGGGATGGGCTGCGAGACTCCTCTTGCACCCCTGGGCCATGCTGTGCGAGAATTACATGGATTTGGGAAGTAAAACAAAAGCCACTGAGACCTGGCAGCTGAGCCTGCCACAGAGGCTTCTCAGGCAGGTGGAGGTCCCGCCACATGCGGCAGAAGGCCCTCTTGCTGTGGGGTCCTGCACGTGCCTGATTAATCTGGGATCCAGGGAAGGGCTGATTTGGCTGAAAATGACTCGTGCTCAGACTGGTTTGTGCAAATGGTTTTTTTTTATTTCCACATTTATATCACAAGGTGTCCACTTACTGGACCAAATAGCAAAGTTGCTCCCTTCTGCGTCCTGGAACACAGAAGTCTAGGTACTGTACATTCACTAAGGCTCCTTGTTTTTGCAAATCGCGTTTATGACCAGTAACCATAAGGCAAACGAATGGAAAGGAATGGTTATGAGTGTTTCCAGCGTACAGACAGGCCTCCCTCCGCCAGCAGTCCAGCTCACGCAGTAGCACCCACGCTCACTTGGGGGTGGGCTTTGGGAAGGACTCTAGAAAGAAGTTTTCTAGCCAAGTGCAGGAAGAGAACAGGGAGAAAGAAAGGAAAGTTGTTGGGCTGGTGGTCAGATGGAAGAGGGATGAAAATAAACTCGAGAAAACCAAAACTTCTGCAGCATTTCTTTTAAACAACCGGGTTGTAACTGAAACCAGATACAAATGGGTGGATGCCTGTGGAGTGTGGGTGAGGCCGGCTGCCCAGCTGGCCCGCCCGCCCGCCCGATGCCCGCAGCTCGCCGCAGCTGAGAAGCTTCCAGCACGCGACGGAAAGAAAACACTGGCTCAACAAGTGGCTGGGTGGGGTGCGGACAGAGGCTGAGGTGCAGCCCACTGCCTTCGAGAGCCCGGGCCGCGTGGACAGAGAATGCAAGAGATGAGATGCGTGCGTCTGTCACTGTTAAAGGTAACCTCTCCCACAGGTTGTCTGTGCCTGCCTGCTACTGAGGGCCCAGCCAGCGGTCGGGCGTCCTGGACTGGGGACAAACGCCGTGTGGCTGGCTTGCTGTGGAGTTCTCAACTCACTTTGCCGTCCTTCCTCCTGGCGGTCCTTCCTTTGCAATTTTGTTAGTAAACTGGTAGCAGCATTTCACAAAAGAAGGAGTTTGGAGGGCAGAGCGCGCCCCCGCCCCCCGCACCTGGGCCCACCTCCCGGGGTCGCCCCGCCGCCCTGGCTCCTGCAAGGTGGGAATGCACTTTGTGGCCGCCGGCCGGTCAGTCCAAGCAGACATAAGGCAGAACGTTCAAGCGCCCGTCATCGCCGTGCGGGTCGAGCGATATGCACTGCGTCCAGTCATACCAGTTACCCTGTGTGTCCTGACACCCGTTAACCCCCGGCCAGTGGCCGGCCTGGATTCTGTCGAGATCACCCTGCGTGACCTCCCGGCTGAGCCCCGGGCGGTCGGAGGGGGGCCCAAGTGGCAGCAGCACGTGCGGCTGGCGGGCCCCACGCCGGCTGCTCTCCTCCTGCCTCAGGTACTCGGCCATGAAGTGGTGAGCCCCCGGGGTCTGCGCGCCCGAGGACGACAGCAGGCTGCTCTGCCGGCTCAGGTAGGACTGGATGATCTCATTGCGCGACAGCTCCTTCCAGTTCGTCTGCTCAAAGGGGCTCTGGAGGCTGGCCTTGGCCTCCGGCTTGTCCAGCTCTGTCCTGGGTGGCTGCTCCATGTGCACAGGGCTGTCTGCCCGTACTGGCTCTTTCTGGGTCAGAGGTTTGATCTGTCTGGTCATGGGGTCAAAGGTGAGCTTCCGCTCTTTTAACCGGACAGGCTTGACACCCACCTCGGCCACCTGCCCGTCCAAGTTCACCGTGTAGTCTCGAGGTCGGTACCTCTTTTTCTTTTTGCTGTCTGAGCCGCCCGAGGAGGCAGCGTCGCTGTCCGCCTTGGAGGAGTCCGGGGAGAAGCCAGCGCGAGCCAGAAGGGGCTCAGCCGCAGGCATGCCGGCCTTGCAGCCGGGCCCCACCAACCGCTGGTGGCCCTCGGGCTGCTCTGGCCAGCGCACCGGGCTCTCAGCGCTGGGCAGCAGCTCCAGCCGCCGCACAGGGGGCGTGGACGGCTGGGCCAGCGGAAGCGGTGACGGCACCTGCGTGGCATCCAGCGGCTGGGGCCGTGCTGGGGGGCTGGGCACAGAGCCCTTGGGCGCACATGGGCTCCGCTGCCGGGCAAAGGAGCCCTCGTGCCGTGAGTTCCGGGGACTGAAGGAGCAGCGGGGGGGCCCCCTGGGGTGGGGAGGGCCCGGGGTCTCGTCCACCCTGTCCAGCTGCTGCAGCGCAGAAGCCTTCGTCTGCAAGCAGGGGCCGGGGGGCTTGCCCAGGCTAGGGGAGCTGGGGTGCGGCCGCACGGCATTGATGGGAATCTTGCTGCTGTGCCTGTCGTTCTCGCTGGGCTCCAGGGGGCTGCCCTCCAGGCCTGCATGCCCACTGCCATCCAGGGGGCTGGGGAAGCTCTCCGGACTCCCACTGAGCCCGTTGGTGGGGAGGGGGGACGAGTTGGGGACTAGGGGGTCATGACTAGCTTTGGCAACCTTGGGAGGTGGCCCGGGGTGGCCCAGGTCGCGCTGGTCTCCCCGGCGCTTGCGGCTGCCCGGCCTGTCCAGCCGCTGCCCGGGCAGCCTCTGGATGTCATTGCGGCTCTTCAGGTCATGGAGGCTCTTGGGCATGCCAGGCGCCCCCGCGTCGGGCCGGCAGGTGTGCGCA